ATAACATCTTAGGCATTAAAATTTAGGTCATTTTTCCTGTCCCTTTTGCTGTTGGTCAATGGTTGATTGCCTTCCCTCCCTCCATGTTTCTAAATGACTATGAAATCACCAGGAGGACTAGTTTTACATTTCCTTTTTTGAGCATCAAAAACACTGATAGAGCTAAAAGGCCAGTGGGAATAGGGGCTTGTGTTTAAGTAACATTGAAGAGCAAGAAAAGCTCGGTGCTATTTTTATGTGAGGTGTTTTGTTTTTTTTTTTTTTGATTGATTGTTTTTTTTTAGGGACAAAACGATTTGTTTTTAATGCAAAGGTGTATTTCAGGACAAGAGGATGCATTTCTTGATAATTGCTTTCAATTTCAAAATGTTACTTTTTGAACAACAGCATTTTGTTGGGGGGTTCTTAAAAGGCTTTTTAGATTTCTTTTTTTTCTGTTTTCTGCTCACAAACCTGTGTAGTAAAGTCTAGATGTGCTTCGAGTGATGTGATAGCTACGCCGCTAATTTCTTTAGCAAAGGACTCTGCTATTGGCCTGCCTGTCTCAGTTCCTGCCTAAGTCAACAGGACTGTCTGTATGCATAAAGTAGCAATAGCATTTAGCTAGAGATTTACTGAGAAATGGCATGTTTTGCAAGGTAATTTGACTTTAAAAGAAATCACTGATTTAATCATGGCAGCCTTGTTTTCTGTGTTATTTCAGAATTAATGATACACTTGAAGAAATTATGTTTGCTTTTGAGGGAAACCCATACTGGAAGGATTTGACAACTTTTGTCAGCTGGACATGTGAGGTAGCTCAATACATGAATGAGGAAGCAGGCTCCGCAGGAGGTCAGTCAGGTGAGGAAACAGCTACTGCACAGCACAGGCTTTATTCTGATAGTTCCCTGTCTGGTTTAGAGTACGGTACTCCTTGGAAAGGGAAAAGGTGATGATTTTTACATTTGTGAGCCTGTTCCTGTTTGTGTTCCCATCAACCCCAGGATTCATCAGCTGACTGAATCATTAGCAAGGAAAACTTAAAATATACAGAGCCTGAATCTGGTAAATAGCTGTGATTTTAGGGCCAGCTGGAAAATTTTTGGATTGTCCATTCTATTGGGAAAATTCCAACTGGTTGAACCTGGTTTAAGACTACTTTGCAACAGTACTCTGTCAGGAAGGCTTCTTAAGTCCGGGATATAAATGGGAGACCAGGCTATCTGGTCATCCAGTAAAGGTATTTCTAGGCTTGTTTCATGTTAGGCAAGGACTTCATGCTTGATTTCCTTCATCCCAGTTGTCCTGTCATATTCCAGATGTCCTGACCCATCTGCTATTAACTTTCTTGGAATACACTAGTTTTTAATTATTTGGGGAAAACTTTGAAATATCTGAGATTTATGCTGAGGAATGGGTGATCTTCCATTTCAGAATTCTTTCTCATTAAATATTTGTGTTAGCTCCACTAAAATGTTGAGAAGAGGATGAAGCAGAGCACAACATGGCTGATCCAAACAGCTCTAAAAATTGACATCACCCAGTATCACCTATTTGTTTCCTTTAAGTATTCTCACCATGCTCCCAATTCTTCCATTTTTTGACCACTTCTCTTTCCAGCTTCTGAAGGATTTAGGTAACTGATGGAATTTTTTTTAAGCTAGTTCTTGGGATTTGTGAAAGATCTTGCTCTTGCTAAAGATCTTTTTCTGAACACACTTTCAGGTTTTTTTCCTCTGCACTTTTTTTCTGTAGAGCTAATCAGAAATGTGCTGAATACCTCATCAGTAAGTGGTCAGCTATGGAATGTATGCAAAAATAAGCAGTACTTTTTAAATCAAAGAACTGTGTTAGTGAAATGAACTGTTCAAATGTGAAATGATTGTACAGGTTTTGTAACCTATTACAGTTCCAGATTTTTCAGTTATCTGGTCAGTAATAGTGAATTTCACAGAACTGCTTTCTCTTTACTGAAATTCCAAGGAAAAGGAAATATTACAGTTCATTTCAGTGCTAAGTACAGCACTAAGAGCACTCTGGTATAATAAAACTAATCTTATTTGAGCTAGGTCTGCAGTTCATGTATAATTCAAAAGATATCTTCTTCCTTTTTTCTGTAAGGAATTGTATTTGAATTTTTCTGTAAGGAATTCTGTAAGGGAAACACAGGTGTGCCTTATGTAGAGCTGATATTTATTATAATCATTCAGTAAAATTAACATCAGACACTTTGATAAAAATTGCATATTTACTTCTTTTAAAATATATGTAATATATTTCTCTTTCTGCACACATTCAAGTCCTAAATTTTGTAAGACTTACTCAGATTGTTTCAGTGGGAGTCAATCAAGTTGTTCATAGATGTGTTCATAAAAACTTTTTTTGATCTGTCTCTTGATGTTGAAATTTTTATTTTCTCTGTAGATGGACTAGAAGCATCTCTATGTTCTAGACAAAAGCTCAGTTTGCAGACCATCCTAGGTCATTATTTAACATTTGTGCAAGACTTACCGGATTATTCCTCATTTATTTCCTGGGCACGGTAAGGTTGAACTAGTCAATGTAATTTCTTTGTTTAACCATTTTCCAGAAATCCTTTACCCCACCTCCACTTTGGACTTTTGTAATTCTTCAACATAATTACCCTGCCTCTTTTCACTAAATGACTGGTGTGTTTCAGTATTACTAGGAAGAAATAGAATCCTGCAAAGAAAGTTATATCTTTGTGGCTGTCATTCAAAAGCATTAAAAAACCTCCATCTCTGGTGTATTATCAGTAGTAAACAAAGTGGTGGACTCCTGATGGTTCCAATGTATTGTTACAAGGGCTTCTTGTCAGTAAGTTACCTGCATTATAACCCTGCTAATGTCTAGATGAACAGTGAAACAGAAGGCATTTAATCATAGCTCTGTTTTAAAAAAAGAAAAAAATATCCCTCATGGAACAACTTTGGACTAATTGTTGAGTGCTGCCTCTGCTATTAAGTGCTATTAACAATTGACCATGCTATGCTGTCAATCGCAGCTGTTAATAGATAAGAATACTTTCTAAATTACACTTCTGGACTTTGAACTTTCTTCTTCATTATGCTGCTATTTAGCTTTTTGCTAAATCAATCCCTTGTTTAACCTATCAAATGGAAATAACCACTATTACTGCAATGAAAGATGAAGAATCAAAAGTTTATAAATGGCAGAATTTGAATATTTTCTCCACAGTTAGACAGATCACGTCATGCTTTTCATTCAAGCAGAACTCAACAGACACTTTAGCAGCTTGATTAAAATGGGTTCTAGAAGCAAAGAACTGGTTTGTGGTTTCAAAATCTTAGATATTTTTGATATCTACAGTAAAGAGAAAATGGAAGTTAAGGAGTAGAATGCAAATTGATATCTTGAATGTTCAATTACTTTTCTTCTGTGCTCTTCTCAACTTTGTTTTAAAGATCAATACAGACCCATTTGCTAGGATCTGGATTTGGTCCTAAATAGTGTTCCTAGAGTATGCACTATTTTCTCTACACAGTAGTACTAACAAAATTACCTGACTTGTTTCAGTTTTCTTTGCTATACCGGAGGTATTTATGTGACCTGAACAGGTCTATGAAAGAGATTCTGTGAGGGGAATGCTTTTTTCCCTATGTCTGACATCTTGGTTTCTCTCCTGTAGAAGCCATTCCAGTAATTGACACAGAAATTCCTTCACAAAGCTTTTTAATGGTGTGTGGTGTTTTGCTGTTCTTCACTATCAAAAGAAAACATATTAAAGGAGAAGGTATTTTCAACTTGAGACCTTTGCATTGGAATGCTCCTTTTTCTATGCACCTCGATCTTGACCAGTCTTACAGAGCTAGTAAACATTTTTTTCTTTTGATAAATAGTATTGACACAATGGAAACATCAGTTGGAGCATTTCAATTTTCACTGTGATTTCATGCTTTGGGCTTTTTTTCTACATATTAAAATAGCAGTGTTCAGCTATCAGTTGGTCAACTGGAATGTTTTGGCTTTCAATAATTATGATAAAACAAAAAAAAATTCTTCAGAATTCACAGAAAATTAGAGATTTTCATTGATTTTATTGAAGAGTTCCTTTCTATAAAATAATTAATCTGTGGAGCATAAAAGCTTTGCTCTTTTCAGCAGCTGAAAATATGATGTACTTAAATTAAAGGTGTTTGACTCTGTGTTTTACAAGCTTGCTTATAATTACTGATAAAAACACACTTCTTTAATCTAGCTGCCTATATTCAGGTTTTGATTTGAATGTGGCTGTCGCTTTTCAGTGAGTTTTGTTGCATTTTTGAAAGCCAAAGTAATTGTCATTTGTGCTATTTCAGGTTTTGTAGTGATTGATTTATGACTGCTATTTAAATGATATTTGAACTTTATTTGAATTAAGTAAATAAAACTACATTCTAAAATTATATATTTAACCAATTCTTGTCTGCCTGGTAACTAACAAGAAAAAACCTGTGCTTAATTTTTCAGGATTTTGACATCTTTCAAAGAGTTTTTGAAGAGAGAAGAAAAATTATGGATTTCTGGTGAAAAGGAAATGGATCATCTTCTTCATCTTGTAGAATTCCTAGAAGAAATTACAATGCTTGCTGTCTCAGCTTCTTCAAACCAGTCTCTAATAAAAAATGTCTTGAATAATACAATTATGTGGATGAAAAATTTTGCTGAGGGGAAGGATTCTGCCACCAATTTCTCACTTGCAGTTTCTGGACACCATAATGAGCTACAAAAAAATTTCCAGCCTCTTCAGAGATTCTGGATGAAAAAGAAGACAGAAGTTTTCCGGCATATAGTGAAAACTGTATTCTATGAACTTGATTCTAGGCTCTCTCATTTGAGTCAAGTGGAAGAGGAGGAGGTATTGGAGACCTTATCTAGAATTACATCTTCCATCACAGAAAATAAAATCCATTATATAAGTATGCTATTGCTGCAAAATATCCAGACTGATTGGCCAGAGTTAAATATTGCTGCTTTGAACCATCTAAAACCCTTAAGTGAAAACTTCCTAAGGAATTTCTATGAGGTCAGATCATTGACTGATGATCATGTCAATGTGTCTTTCAGCACAATTCATGGAGTGAGTAATGCCTCTTCTTTGTTACTCTCAAATGCAACTTTTTCATACAAAGTACAAGAATTAGGAGAAATTGTGCACAATTTCTTCAAAAACATCCAAAACTTAAACAGTACTATTGTAGCCTCACTTGTTCCAATAATTTTCTCTCTGTATCAGAATGATGATCTGATCTTAAATATTGAGAGCAATAGCACTCTGTTAACATTTCTTTATGAGACTTCGAAAGATATTTCATCTTTTCAAATATGGCATGATTTCCAAGATGGGGATCAAGTTTTTGATTTTCTGTCTGAAACTGTTGATCTTCTCTGGAACTTCACCAGTAAGTCTCTCTGTGAAAAGTTACTAATCGTTTACAACTACACAGAGTTTCAGGCCCAGTCTCTTGCACAGAAAGGAAAAAAAGAGATGCAAGTTGTCTATAGCACTCTGAGCAGCCTCAAAACTTTGTTTATAGATGAACAGCTCCAAACAACTGCGTTTTGTTATTTGGAACAGTTTCTTGATATCTCCCCAGAATGCCTGGTAAATAATGGGTGCGTTGATTTTTATCTAACAAACATTACTTCTGTAGATCATTCAGCAGAGGTTTACAACTTACTTTTGCTTCCATTGGACAGTGTTCTGTCTAATATAACAAACTTGGAAGATAAGGTAAGTGTGCCTTCTGCTTTGCACTGCACTTTTACATGGCTTCAAGCCTGGACAGAGATTTTTGAAGCAGCACCCAAAATCTTAAATTTGAATTCAACCTTTTTCGTCTGTCTAAGAAATGACTTGGCAAATCTCTCTGAAGGCCTTTTAAATCTCACTCATGATGAACTGTGCAAGAATACAGCTATGGTTGTTGTTGAAACTACAACAACAGCAATGAATCTATTAAAAATCATATTTGAAGGAGGTGGTGATTTAAATGACTGGAAACATTTTGAAGCTTTCCTTGCTAATCTTCAAAGAGTATTTAACAATGCAGTTGATGTCACAAGCCCACTTAAAGGTAACAGTATAGGAAGTGTTTTAGAAATGATGGCAGTCACGATAACGGAACTGCAGAAATCTATACTGAAGGTTGTTAACGGAGAGTTTTTGAATTCTTGGCTTGATACTTTCATCTCAGGAGGATCTGAGGGAGAAGATAAGGGTGCTGATGTATTTTCTATTAGAAATTCCCTTTCTGCTGTTCTCAAGCTCTCCCAAAAGGAACTTGGAATTATTCTTACTGAGATAAAAGATACAACTGCTTTCTTTAAAAGTGTATCTCAAGACAATGATATGGTTTGTATCAGCATTTTCCAGAACATTACCAAACTAATTCTGGACGATACTCTGAAAGACATAAGCCGTTCACAAATAAATTTTTCATCTCATCTTAATTACTTTTTAAACCTTTATAGTACAGTGGATGAAGCAGAGGATTGTAACAGATGGATACGCGGATTAAGGAATCTTGGTGAAAAATACAAGACATCTCCGCACCTTGAAAGTGCAAAACATATTTTATTTCTACTGAAATCTCTGGGAAACATTGAGACAGATGCTAAGCTAATGAATGTGATGGACTTTGTTAATTTGATTTTTAATTTGATACTCCCTGAATGTTCCCTAACTGGTTCTGACATGACTTGTGTAAATGTTTATTTCAATATTATAACAAAAACTTTAAAATTTATTCTCCCCAAATTTTATGTAAAAGATGATGTTAGCGTGCTTGAATATATTTTTACACTTTTAAATAACTCTGGAGGGCAAATACAAATGTTTGTCAATGATTTAGTGGGACACTTACGGTATGCATTAAATAAAACCCATTTTAGTCAGTCAGTCCATGGATTTAACAGGACTTCAAGGATGTTCCTTAATCCTTTTCACCATGTTCAACTTTCACCAGTAGAACTTTTGACAGAAATTCAAACTCTTCTGAAAAATAAAACTTTTGAAATCCAAGAAAACAGCTCCTCTCATTTGGATATTGAGATTGAACCTTTCCTGCATGAGAAAAATACAAGTTTGTTGATGGAATTCTTTCAATATGTGATTAGGAAAATTGACTCAGACCTGCAGGGTGAACACAAAACATTTCTCCAGAAACTGAATATTGAACTGGTAAGGAAGGCACTTAAAATTTTCAAGTCTTCTAGTTTTACCAGCTTTCCATTAAGAGATGAGAAAGAGTTTCAAAAACATATGGTAGCCTTGGTGCAAAATATGAGGAACATGGATGTTGAGTTCTTGATAGGTCAATTCAAACAAGTCCAGAGGGGCCTAGGCAATTTCTTTAAAAATATCAAACCTTTGTATATTGAAAAGTCTGAGTTAGGAATGTTAACAGAATGGTGGGATGCATTTGCAAACAATTCGTGTAATTGGAACCTGACTGGCTTATGGCGAATAACGCGACTCTTTGAACAAGATGAGCTCTACAATATAGAAGAGGTGTTTCATCTCCTCCTCAATGTCATCAGCCTTACAGAAAGATTAGCTCATGGAAACATCACGGAAGCACTAACTGAAGTATATGCTTTCATACTGACTCAGGAAGCAAAAATGCCAATGTTTACTGAAGAGGAATTCTCTAATCAAGTAGAAAGTCTTCTAATGTTACTGGAGACGCTGATGGATATGTCTGATGAACCTGCAGAGGCCTCAGTTTGTTTTCGTGCAGCATTCTGCTGGACTTACAACAGCAACACCTCAGAGTGATCCCACTTTTAAACCTTGTGACTTTGTGCATAGCAATTCTACTCTTAGTTACAATGCGGTCACCGAAGTCATTAAGGAGCTGAAACTCATCACCCTGGAGGACAGTTCCTCCTGCAGTAGGGAAGACTTTCAGATGGATATCACTCGCAATCTGACTTGCTTTTTTCATCAGATCAAAGAATGGAACTCTATTCTTTTGAAGTTTTCTGAGCTCCACCATGTAAATGGCTCAGTTCTCAAAGAGCTGCTAGATTTTTGGAATGAGCTATCCCTCTATGCTGTGCCACTGCAGATGAATAATACATACTCAATCAATTGTTCCTCCACATTGAAGAGACAAGTGGCTTTACAAATCATAGAAACACTGGGCAGTATGCCAGTGGCAGAAATGGAGATGTCCAAAGGTGTTCTTGAACAGCTGGATGATCTTTATGGTGGTCTAAGTTGGAACAGACATTCAAGAACACCACTTATAAAGACTGTTCTTACTAATGTTAAGAATATGACCAGTGAAGTTTCTGGACTCCTGGATACAGAAGCTGTCCTTTCTTTTCTTTCTGTAATTCAACCTTTAATGATGTTGTCTGCTGTTGGAAATGAGACATTTTCAATGCTTATGATATTATCAGCTTTAAATAGAAACAGTAATATATCTGATAACTTTGATAACTTCTGGTTTCCTATAGTTACAAGCATAGAAGATTTATTAGTGAATTTTAATGTTAGACACTTACTTGCGGTGATAGACCAAGAGTTTCAATTACTAAGGTTAGCCACTGGACAGTCCTCTTCAATGGCTCTTGGTGCTTTAATAGAGCAGTTTAATAATACATCATCTGTAGATGCTATGTTAAGAAAATTTGAAGATATAAAAGAGATTGTGAACAGCTTTCTATGCAAGTGTAATAAAAATTATTCTAAAATAATGCATGCTCTAATTCTCCCTCTGGCTAATGAAAATTCCTCGAATGACCTCCTGCTGGTTGTCAAAGACATTATTGACTTTCTGGAACTAGTCCAAAATAAGTCTAATGAAGATTACACTGGTACGTTGTTTGTTGATGGTCATCTTAGCAGAGAAAAATTGAATAATACTCATACTGCTAATTCAGTTTTGCTAAACAGTCTCTTTCATACAATTGCTGATCTTGCTGTTGTAGAAGCAGCCCTGCATACAAGTGATATTGACCTTCAGATAGTTGACTTAATTGATTCATTTTTTGGTAACACACAATATAGAGAAGTTTCTACTCAGTCCCAAAACAGAACTCTGAAGATCATGCAAAAGATCTTGCAAATGATATTTCAGTCTACCATAGAACATGACAGCAACAAAATCACCTTCTTACTAAAGGATTTGCATAAGGATATAATGGCAGAAAAGAGGTGAGCGTTTTCTGTGTACTCATTTTGACAGTGTGCTGACAATGTCAGAAGGGCTCTTTGTTTGTAAACAGATCAATCAAAACTTGTATTAAGTTAATTACTGTTTAATTTCAGATTTGTGCCTTTCAGTAAAATAATCTTTTGTATCAATGTACATTGTTCAGACCAGCCATATTTGGTATCCCATTATACTGTGTGGACCAGGTTATTGATACATTCAGTCATCTGTACAGATACTTGAGGTGGTTTCTTTGAATTATTATAGAACCAACTATTTAAAGATACTAGTGTTTTAAAATCCTTGCAGGTCTGAACACTGAACCCACAGTTATTGGTGGACAACAGTCATTTTGGTTATGGAGCTAAATATTATGGAATGCTTGGGACTAATATTTTGTGTTTGTTTTTTTGTTTGTGGTTGGGTTTTTTTTTGTTTTCTATATTTAAATGTAGATATACTGTATTTGAAATGTCAACTTAAATTTGCTGATGACTTGTACAAGCAAGAGGACCCTTTTGGGACTACGGCTATAGTGTTAAGTTGTCCAGTTTAATGAACACATTTTCTGAAGGAATCTTGAGCCCAAGATAATTTTTGCCAGATTACTCAAATCAAATGTAATCCAGCAGCAGAGGAAACTCTGCTTCAGGAAAATATATACTGACAACTTATTTAATAAAAGTACTGCAAGACTGAACCTGCTGCATTTAAGTAATACTCACTGAGTGAATCCCACACGATGGTTGCTCCAAACAGCTCTAGTGTGTCTAGATCCATCAGTAGTGGAGCTACTGATCCTACTGACATAGACCAGACGAGAAATGGAATACTGAAGTTGATGCATGACTCTGATGTGGTATTTAGACCTTTATGATTAATTTTATGCAAATATGTCAAACCCTGGTCAGCAGGGCTAGGTATTAGCCAAATGCATTGAAAAATCAAAAGCAAATACTAGAGAAGTGGGTTATTTTCCCCAAATGCTGATTATCAGAGATTTTGAGTATTCTGCTGTTTGCAATCAAGTCAGTATATGCTGTGGGCTCTCAGTATTTCTGAAGCTGTTATGATTTTGCTTATTTTGCTAAGGTACTTTCTAGCATTCCTAAGGTCTTCAGAAAGCTGATGACTTGCTACCTTGATTAAAACCTGTGGTGGTTTTTTTGGTGGGTTTTGTTTTTTTACATGGAAGTATTATGTTCTGATTTTGAAATAGTTCAGACAAATGTAATAACTGTTAATACTGAAATCCTTATATGCTCCACTGAAGATTGCAAACATACATAGTCACTTGTTGAAAATTTTCTGTGGTATCCTTGTTATGAAAATAATGCTTTCTTATTAATCTTTCTACAGAGCATCTAAAATCTGCAAGATTCTTCAGAAACATTTATACCCTGCTAGTGTCCTGCTATTGCAGAAGTTGCACTTTACCATTTTGAGTGTTCTTAAAATCTTTTCAGGTTGGTCACCATGTGTGTTAGCACTATAATGTAGTAAGGCTTCACTCTGAGCAACCTTTTGTAAAAATAAATTAATTTGGGTGATGACAAGCAAGGCAAGCATACTGATGCCTGGAAATTAAACCAACAGAGGCATAGGAAAAATTTTGATTCAGATCACATAAAGGCATATTTTCTTTCTGGAGTGGTCATGTTGATTCAAAATCTCAGTGGATGCAGGGGGTCTTGGAGTTCTTCTTCTCTCATTTTTAGCCTTCCTCCTGGGCTTACTCTGACACACCAGCACCTCCTCCTTTTTTGATTTGATTCACAAACCCAGCAGAAGACTGTATACATATTTGGGTTTTGTCTTATCTTTTTTACTGGGTATTTTTCTGCCAGGCTAGTGAACTGAGTCAAGTCACAGGGGGTATTTAATGAGCCAGAGTTGCCACAAGGCAGCGTATAGCTGACAGAAAGGAGAACTAGGGCAAGTATATAAAGGAAATGGCACCTCCCACTTCTGTCTGTGTTGAGCCAGTGGATTGGCTAACTGTAGCTGAATAATTTCACCTTCAACAAATTGTTCAGATTTTAATGTTAGGCTTGTTTTATTCCTTGCATATAGGTCCCCAAAATGAGCACTTTAAGAAAGGCTCTATATTGACCTAAGGGTATAATTTTTCATATTCAGGTTTTTTTGGGGAAACCAAAGCCTTTGCTTTTCAAATATCATATTTTAACCCAACTATGCCTAGAATTGTTTGCAAAGAGCTATGAGGAGTCATTAACCTGTTGTTCTAGAGCAAGGGATGAGATCAGTAATGTCTTATGCCAACTTCATGTCCAAACAAAACATAAGGTGTGATCATAACCCAATTCTGACTATCTTCTCCACTCTCCTGTGACTGATGTAGTTCCCAAAGAGTGAAACAGTAGCAATGTTGAGCTCAGAATAAGTGATACTGAAAGCGTGTGCCAGGTACCTGGGATCTGTCTTTGACCTCTGAAGAACAGTCTATTTATTGAGAGAACTTGAGATTAAGGAACTAAATTTTTGTCATTCTTATTTCAATACTCCAGTCATAGGGATGTTTCATAATGTTTCATTTGATACAGAAAACATTATGAAACCTAATGAAAAAAGATGAAAACTGCTTGACTTGGTTTGCATTACTGAGTTGCATTGTATTACTTCTGTGAGCAAGATCAAGGTTTGCTTGTTTTAGAAGCAGTGGTGAATATTTATTATTCTTCCTTCTTGACTTATGAACCAATCATAAGGAAAAAAAAACATGTGGGGAAAACCAAACTTGATCCTTCCATAAACCAGTATTCAACTGTCAAGCCAAACTCCTTCCCTGCTATGCCATGTACAAACCCACTACAGGCCTGTGGGTATATGTGGAACATTTTTCCAGGGATTTGAGGGCTGCAAGCTTGGGTAGAGACTTTGTCCATGGATGATCAGGTGATAAATATCCCCTATATGGATTCTTTATCCCTAGATATGCAAAATGTCTGTGTAATGCTGTTTCCTTCCCCTTGCAGCTCGTGTTTGAAAGTTACTACTCGCTGGAGGATTAGTAACATCCTGATGTCTCCACAGGGAAATAGGATGAGGGGAGCCTGCCCAAGGGGGAGTTAGATGTGGTTAATATATACAGCTTCTCAGAGTTATGCTTCTTGCTCACAAAGACCAAAATGAAGTTTTCTTCTCTGGTTCTGTAGCAGTTATTTTTGTTCTTATTTTTGACCAGGAAAGTGTACTGGAGAAGAGTAATGGACATTGAATTAAACTAGCCCTTATTGCCCTCTGCAATGATAAATAAATTTAGCCAGAAATAGGTTTCAGCGCTTTAACAAATCAGACTTTATTTGCTTTTAAAAACTATACTGTCCTTTATTACTTGGTTAACTTTTTATCTGATTACAATAATTTATTTATTTTTTTATCTGATTAAGCCTGGACATTTTCTCTTACAGAAGAACCAGTTGTCATTGGCAACCTTTTCTGTGTTGTTACAAAGTGTAAAGATGGATTAACAAGTCACTTGATCCTCTCTGTCATTGAAGGAATCACTCTGGTTCGAGATCATTATCAGGTTTGAGTAGTTTCCACACCTACAAATGTTCTTTACAACATGCATTAAACTTTGGAAACTAATGGAAATTTCTGCTTTTTTTCCTGCTGTCTGAATGATGAGTCCCCACAGTGGCTATACAAAGCTGCGGTTTGTGTGGATATAGCTCTGATGCTTTTGATAGTGATACCCAGAAGGAATCCCTTAAGTAAACATTGGTGAGCTTTGAAAACTGTAAATATAACTAGATTAACTAGATTGCCATTCAATACCAAACAGCAGCCCATTTTTAATTCCTTTAGATTTTGTGATACTGCTAATTTCATGAATCAGAGTACATTTATACTTTTAAATCTTCACAGGAACAGCTGTGAAATCAAGCTGGATACAAATAAACTTCTTGGCCAGAGTCATTCAAGCTAAAATAGCAATTGTGGTTACCAACTGGGGTCAGTCTGTTTTTTCTTTAACAGTGCGTGAAATTGCCAGCAGGAGAGACTAATATTTGGCACTTAGAAACTCATCCAGAGTTGGAAGCAGGCCTTTGGGTAGCGCACACATGCATGTGCACACAGACGAAATGCTAAAGTCACGCTTTTAGTACAGAATTTGCCTCCTCTTTATGAAATATCTCTGCTAGTTTGTCTACCTGGAAATTTTGCTGATATGAACAGCAGTGTTTTAAGGTAAGCAGACATCAGAAGCATCACTCAAATCTTAAAGCAGAGTTTTGCGGAACAAATACATTGCTGTAGTCACCACCATTCTGTGGCCTGCTTCTACAAATATTTAAACAAACTTGCAAAATCAGAAATATGAATACTCAGGAGAAAAGATAAAAGTGCATACTACACAAAGCATAATGCAAGAAAAACTTTGGATATGGGTATCCAGATATTTTGGTTTGCTGAATGGAAACTGATGTTGTTTAGAACAAGTTTTTGGGGAAAAAGTTAAAAAAGGTCAGCCTAAAATAAATAAATAAAAAAGCTCATTTCATTTTCAAACTAAATTTCAAATGAAAATGTTGGTATTTCTGCTAATGGATGAATCTCCTTGATAGGCTATGTCAAATTCACAAATATTTTTGTTTGTTTCCAAAACTCAAATGTTTGAAAATTCCTTGGTTCTGTTAAACCTCTTGCCCCGGTTCAATTACAAATACAATGAGTAAAAGAGTATTACCTTACCCATATTCTCATTTGAAAATATGCATCGTCTAGTTGCCAAGACCTGATACTTCAAGCAGTAACATAATCTCATTAATTTGCTAACCATATGATCACTGTGTTTTGCAGGATATTGAAAGAATGTGGCCTGCTTTCAAGAACGGGGATTATGAGAGTATGGAATATATAAACCAAAAACTTTCCAGTACTTTAGAGGGCTTCCTGAGAGCCTTGCAGAATACCAATAATGGCAGCTGTGAATGTCAACTGATGTTGGGGAACATACAGAGACGACTGCAAATGTAAAGCCTTTTGCATTTTGGTACTCCAAACGGTTCTTGTTAGAGATGTTATTTTGTGCATATGTCTGTGTTCTAAATTATGTAATTACAGGAGAAATACTATTTATCAAAGTCTCTTTAAGCTTTGTTCATTTAACTGAAAATTGAGCAGATACAATGCACAAATTAAGTAAGTGATTTAGCAAAATTCTGGGTATTTCTAAAAGCACTTACCCTTTTGGTGAGCACTTGCAGCAGATCTTGCTGCTCCACAAGAGCTTTGAATCACAACTAAGAAAATTTTCAATTTTCCATGACCTCAGTTAGGTCAAAGGTTTGATATCTTAATTTTTTTATTTAAAGCTGTTTTGCTATGGCCTTGTCTTCTCAGCAGCTGGATATCCTTTCCAAAATATTAAACATTCAGATCAGTTCAGCAGTTCAGTCAGAAACACAGGATGGTGTTTGTAAACTGAACTCCAAATAATTTCAGATATTTGTTATTCCCCTGAGGAAAATAGTAGATTTTAAGTACATTAATAGAACTGCTACTACAGAGTATTTGAGACTTGCTGTCAGTTAGAAGTGGTCCTTGTTATAATTGTGGCTGTACTGGTTTGACTGTTGGATTGTTTTCATAATGAGCTTGAATGGTGTCTGTGGTTTGTAGTAATAATACAGAAGAACTTGAGCTTAGATGCTGCTTTTATGGACCATAGATTCACGTCCTGCTTTTAAATGGTAAATAATATCTGTTGTGTGTACTTTATTACTTAAATTACAATTAGATAGACTTTATTCATCCTGAACTGCGGTGCTTTGTATCCTTAGTTTTTAAAAATGTGTGTTCAATAAGAAACATGGAAGTGAGACATTGCTAGACCTGTGCTCCTTAAGCTACTGTTTGCTAGAGCACTTAGCCATCATGGGAAGCTCTCTACATTTGCAATCTCATTTAGGCGTGAAATATGATAATCCCTGCACCATATAAATACAGCATGAGAAGGTCTGTAGAATTGCTTACTGCATGCACAGTGTGTGCATGTAGACCATAATGTGACCCTTTTGCCTCATTTAGTGGCTGTTTCACTATTCACATTACTCTTTATAATAATGTCAATGACCTAGTTCTGATAACTTGTGAAACTAAGGCTATCATTTCAGGGTGGCTGAAAATTTGGAGCTACAGTTGTCAGAAAATCCAGTGGCAGCTTTTCTCAGCAATTTTAATATTTTGAATGGTGGGTTCCAGTTTTCTTCACTCTTTCACAAGTCACTGCTGTGTAATTTTGCGGGACAATTGTTCTTCAAACTTTAAAGGGGTACTGCTTATGGAGACTGCTGACTTAATGCAATATATTTTCATTGTACACATGTGCGCATACATACGCTTGAGTTGGCACAGGACAGCATAATTTATCCTTTCAGAGTCTGTCCAATAAGATGCAAGGATTCATTAGAAAGAAGAGGGGACTTAAGTTAGTGGAAGAAGAAAATCTTAAAGGACTAAAGGCCACTTCACTAATTTCAGTTCTCATAATACAGGGATGTGGGATAACTTGTGCTTTTACAGGATAATGCAAACAGATGCACAAGCCCTTCAGTCCACCAGGAGAGTGACCTTTACATTTGAAATAGAAGTGAATTACACGATATGAAGTTTTTGTGTCCTTTATCACCCCTCAGAATAAATCTAACAAAAAGGATACAGTCTGTGGGCAATTTAGTTAAGCAAACTGATACCGTTGGCACTATTTTTCTTCCCTTCCAGATGTGAAAGTCAAAGAGTGTGTGCAGAATCTTACTCAATTGAGGCTGGACATTGGTTCTTCTGTTAATATTTCTGAAGAAACTATCAGTACCATTTTGGAAGCCAGTATCTCTCATTCAAAGGTAAAAGATCGAAAAGAGGTGTTAAATTAACAGGTCAACCTTACAGCCTGATGTGTCAACTGAAACAAAACAGACTGCCTTGTTTGTGTGGAATCTTATATTTTCACTTGTCACTTCTATGTGGAATATTTTGTGAGATTTAGGACTTCAAAATAATAATGTGAAGCATTAAGAGATCAATTTGTAGTAGCACTAGTCTTCTGGTCTAAATGACACTGCTTCATTACTTTCAGCAGTGTTTTACCCCCTTATGCTGACACAGAATTTGAGCTTTGCTATCTTGATACTGTAGAAAAGGTGAGGGTTCCTGGGGAAATCATTTTGTTTCTTCCCACCTCTGGTCCTTGCAGTATGGAGTTGTCTGCTTTTTTTTTTATTTTTTTTTTTTTTTTAATTCCTTCATGTGCTCCTCACTGTTCTTACATTATCTTACCAGTATCTTGCCTTACCTCCACTTTATTTATCTGTTGTCTCTTGAGTACTGTCTGAAGGGTGGGTTGTGTAAGTTTTCAGAGTGAAGGACTGTGTGTGTTATCATTGCTGCTGTCTCCAGTGATCCCAGTGATTAGTAGAAATCATGAAAAATGCCACCTAACTTAAAGGTCCTCTCTCCTGTTGATATCTGTATGACTGAAAAGAGTTGGGGGTACATTAGGTATAAACTAATCAGGTCAATCAAGCAGCCACTGGGTGTCACTGATGCTCCACTTGCAGACACAGTAGCAAGTTTTGTTTCTGAAAAGTGTGGCTACTAAAAAAGCAGTTCAGACCATCATTACTACTTATAGATGATTTGTTCTTCTGCCTCTTTGGCAGTGTGACTGCATTTATTGTTAGCTTGTTATTCTGATACCAGTAAATGGTAGAGAGAAGTCACCTGGAAGTGATTCAGTTAAATGGGATTTGGTGCACCTTTGATCTTTTGGAATAATATAATGCTAACTGGCTGAATTTTCGAATTACTTTCTATCCTTATTTCTTGCTAAAGTCCTATGTAGAGTTTAGATATAAGTACACATCTCATATTTGTGTATCTATACAGAAATTTTTGTTTGCTTAAGTGCTTAAATCCTCGCCCAGTCCAAGTGGAGCATTAAAGCCTATGTCTCTTACTGAGTGTGCAAGATGCACAAGTATTTTTTTAAGCTATAATTGAGGCATGCCAATTATGTTTATGACTTATATAGCCACTGTCTGATAACTCTAATGATAGCTGCAGGCCCATTGCAGTCCTATATTTCTATGATTGTATACTACTACTGTGCTTGCCTCTGGAATGGTAAGAGTAAGCCTGCAAGTTGTTTGTGCATAAGCACTTACCCTTACTTTTTATCACAATATTGTGCTCTGGCCATGCTCGTTGCTGTGTGATTAAGTGTTTTGAAACTGCTCAAAACCTGTTACCTGAAGACTGTAAGCATTCATTTACTGAACATAGGAGTTTGGATTAGCTCTGGTACTCGCAAAACTGCAAGAAAAGTTCAGAGGGGCTTAATCTAGTAGATAAAATGCTAAATGGGTTAAAACTGGACTGAAATGGTGATACTCATGTGGGGCATGAGGAAAGACATTTAAAATTGTATCAGAGAGTCAAATTTCCTCCACAACAAGAAGTCCAAATCACTATCCTTTTATTCTGCTAGCAAAATTGTATTTATATTCATATTCTGTACCTTGTACTTGCACAAAAAAAGTGCATATTTACATAGGAAATCCTTTGGCATCATAAAGGCAAAATTCTATTCCAGAATAAAAATCTAAAAGTCAAATTAATAAGCAGGAAATTAAAATGCTCATAGGAATTAAAGAGTTGAATTGCATATCTTGACCAACTTGGGCTCCTAATTTGATTTTCTTGGGGATCCTCTCCCTCACTGAGTACTGTTACTAGCTACACATGCAGTGGAGGCAGTACAGGCAGGTTCTGTCCTGAGGAGTACAATGGAGCCCTGAGTACGTACTTTGGCTCTTACAGGCTCCAAACGTAATTTTTCTGGACTTGATGCCACTTGCTTTCTTTCAGGCATTTGAGGAGAAAGGGTAGCTAAGAACTCCTGAGGTATCTGGGCTGCAAGCATTTATCTTTTGATGTGACATTTTTTGTAGGAAGAAACAAACCATCATTATCTGAGGATTTTTTATTGTAGTCTCACCCAAGGTCTGCTTAGGTATTTGTCCCTTCATCCACTATTAAATAATAAGACTTCAAAGGAGTGTTGAACTGAGAAACGTGATCTGGCTGAGAGTGAACATTGTGCCATATGGGCATCCCTACATGTTAAATTTCTGTGTCCTCTGAAAGAAGGAATGTCCATAGCATTTGATTTTAGTGATTCATGCATCTAGATTTTGATCTTTAGGTTTCTGCAACAAACGTGTATATCTGCTAGAATGGGTATGTTCAGCATTGTAAATATGCCAGCTTACGGTATGAAAGCTCACAGAATGAATGATCGACCTGTTCACAAATGAAAGTAAATCTTTATAAGAAATATACTTCATCTCTTTATATGTACATAGAATATAAAGTAAGAACATACCAATCTGATATAGAGCTGTATAGTTCATTATTTCAGGTCTGTTGATGACTGCAAATTGTCATGCTACAGTGACACAAATTCTCACCTTATGGACTATGAAAGAAGGTGATGCATTTCAGGACGAAAATTTTTTAATATGTATTCATTATGATAGGTTTTTTACAGTGCCTTTGTGGTAGCTTTAACTGGAAGATGTGATGAAGAAGTACTTAGCCTGCTGCTAAAGCTACCGGAAAACAGTAAAACTTCCCTGGTAGTGAATGAATTATGTTCTTTACCAGCACTGGACTTGTATACCACGTTTGTACTGATTATACAGAATTTGAACTTACGTCATATCATTTACAAGGTAAGATGGCAAAAAAAGCATTCAGTTCCTATGTTTTTCTTTTGAGGGTGGTCTAAAACATGCAGGTAGATAAATGAATAATTCTATTATTTCTTCAGATGTTCTTCCTCTATGGACTGGACATACTGGATATGTGGCATTTTTGTCTACATTTAGCTCCACAAAGCAAACACAACAGTTTAAGAATGGGGTTGGTAGATGCTACTCTATTCCATTTCCTGATTCCTCAGGAAAATTATCACTGAGGAGTTAATTATGAAAGCTTTAGAGAAAACACAGGAGGTCAAAGATGTAGTGTTATTAATCTTTAGCAGAGTTTGCAGTTTATGCAATTAGTCACTTCTTACTTTGTAAGTGTGGAAGACTGATCTGACATCACTGGAACTAAAACAAGCATAGGTGCTCACATTACAAGAATTACAAAATTATTTTGTAGGACAAATTCATAGCACTCGGGAATGCATTTTATTTGCTGTGGAAATCATGTTGGCAATTCAGGTGACTCCTTCAGGAAGGAGCTTTTCCAGCTCTACCAGGGTGAGTCTCTCTGTAAGGGCAAATCTCCTATATTTTATATGACCCAAGTCAAACAACTTTGACAAGAATAGTACAGTGCCAAAACTGTAATGAAGGGAACGCAGAAGTCTGTAAAAAATCTCTATGACCTGTATCACTGTAGATAATCTGGGATCTAGTGTGGGTTTTCAGTGAGATAATATTTTACTTGTAAGAGCAAAAGTATTGGATGGGATTTTTGATAGTTAGAAGACTTTTATTTCAGTTCTTTTGGGGTAATTCATTGACAGAACATAAAATGTTCTAAGTACATATAGTTGAAAAATAATTATAACATTGGGAGGAAGAATATTTTGTCCTAAAGCCGTAGATGCCAGGTTATATTCTGGATGCTGCACTTGCAGTTAAACAGGTTGGCCACACACTTTTAAAAACAAGAAAATTTCCCAGAATAGGTTAAGATACCAGAGGGTAAATAAAAGATTTCTACTTTTTGAATTATCTGCTAACATAGAGGGGGAGGAAAAAAAAAAAGGAAAAAAACAGTGCTTATTCTGATGGGCTTTTCTGCTGACTGAACCCTAATGAAACATAATGAATTCCTAGCAAAGAATAAAAAATGTTGTCAGCTCATCCTAAATGATATGGAAGTTTTGCTAATTTTTTAACTGAACAAATCTTTTTTTTCAGGTTTTTTTTTTTTTTATGTGTAAAAGCAGGTGAAGGCTGAGAATAAAATTAAGCACAGACATTATTATTGTAGGAAGTCAAATAAAGGTGGATAAAATAATCAGAGGAAGCAGCTGAAAGTATATAATGAGATTATACTGGTTTTATTACCATGCATATGGAGGTAACAATGAATCAGTTTGTATTACCATATCATCTAAATAACCTATAAAAGCAAAGGAAATAGAGAGAAAATTCGTAATGCCAAAACTTGCACGGTGAAAACAGCAAACATCCATTTGAACTTCAGTCAAGTAGGGAATGAAATGCACACAATTATTTTATGTAAAAGGTAGTGCATATGAAAAATGCAAAGGGAGGAACAGTGTGACAGGAAAGTGTGTTGTCTAATATGATTCCTGAAGCAACTAAAGTGGTTGCTAGATTTAATTTAACTTGCAAATTATTTTAAAAATATTAAACTGTTGCCTTGAGCATCTTGAACCTGATGAAGGAAAAGTTCTCATTCACACTGAATTCCAAGGGGGCAGGATGTTGCAGATCCCCTTAGCATCTGGGGTAGGAGAGCTCTCTTCAGCTTGGTAGGTATAAACATGTTCTCCGGATTTTAATTCCTGATTTTTCATAGGCCAGTTCTAACATTAACAGAGAATTTTTCTTTAGCTGTATTTGAGAGTAACTGGGGAGTTACACTAAATGGAGTTTCGTTAATCATGGTTTGCAGGACCATTGTATAATCAGTTTTAGAAAAAGACCGAATAATTTTGAGTGTTTCATTGAAAGGTTAAAATTTGTTTCTAATTGGAATTTATTGTTGTGATCTTTTCCTTCTTTTCCAAGATTAAGATACCACCTGAGATAGGCAATGTACTAAACATGCTACTGGATGTCATTTCTAGTATCAGCTCTCTTCTCAATAAAGCCCACCATGCCATGGAAAACCTTCCAGTGCTCCTCCAAGGAATTAAAAATAATGGTATGCTTGACATCCCTGCATTGCAGCAGGTATGTGTATGATTTCAATATGCAAACTTAATTCCCATTGTGAGGTGCTTTGTTAGGAATGTGTGCTTCATAAGGAGCAACACTAATAGAAATTTTGTCCTAGAAAGCTGGGAACTTAGAAGATTGTCCATAGACCCTAGGGAGATTAATTTGGTCTCTTTCAAGCACTCCAGTAATTTTGAGACTATTAACGTGTTGTTTCTGCCATCTCTTTTTTTAACTCATGAGATCACAGCCTAAGTTAATATGGTGTTAGGCCACTGATTAATAATAGCATTTATTATCTGTGATTTGGAGATAACCATGCCTTTTCTGTTAATGCTGTAATTTTTTTGATGAGCAGACCATTACTTTGTTTATAATAAATAACTTTGCTTTTTTAAAGGATAAGATTTCAAGATAGCATGTGCAGTTCTTGTATCTGACATGGGTTTCTGTTTGTGTCACTTAAGGTTTTGTAAGATAGTTGTGCCTGACATTTAAAAAAAGTGGCATGAGGCGTGGGTGAGGATATTTCTTTTGTCCCTGTCTATACAGGCAGTTGCTGTGTGCTCATCTAATATTAAAGAAATAAGAAAAAAGATTTATGTTTCAAAGCAGGGTTCAATTCCACAAGCAGACTTGCTGAACCTTATGGCATTACCTTCTGGATTTGCTATTCTGTGTTTAGGATTGAATCTGGTTCTAAAACTGCAAACCTCTAAAAGATCCCTCAGTGGTAAGCAGTGCAAACTGGTTTGTGACTACAGAAAAGAGTAAACACTGCCTTAAATACTGTTCTCCCTACTGATATGAATCTTTCTCAAGATCTTCTAATCTGTGCAACAGAGAGGTATGTTGTAAAATGCTGTTCTGTGCATATTAGTTTTGTTTTTGATTCTCTCTTCTTTGGGGTAGCTCTGACGGACACAATGAAAGGTGGCTTTCATCAGGTACTTACACCTTTTCTGCTTTCCTTAAGCTAGTTCTGTTTGTGTCAGACTTGTCTTCAAACAAACGAAGTATTCTTTTTGGAGTGAAATGCCAAAGTTGCTTATTTGATAGTAGAAGCTCTCAAAAGGTCCTTTTCAAAAAAAGTTTGTGAAGGAACAAATTGAACAGCAGAGGGCCATCTGGTCACAGTTTTAATCTTTGCTCCGTGGCAACCCATATTATCCTGTAATATAGCACAGATTTAACCTTGGAGTTTTTGTTCCTTTTTACATCTTTCCTTTTTTTAGTCACTTTCTGTGACACAATCTTTTTTTCTTTTTGTTAATTTCTTATTTCTTGAGAAATTGCTCTTTGTTTTCATCACCTAGTAATTTGTGGAGGATTAAAAAATTCAGTGCCTATTTCTTTGTTAATAAATTAGATGTTTCGTGTTTTGAAGAGCTCTTCTGTCTCTGTAACTTTTTCTCATTTTGTAGACTAGTAAAAGTTGTTTATTTTTAAGTATCCTTTACTTTTCAAGTTTAACTGGATTTTTTTTTTCTACTTTTCAATAATATGTTCAATTATTGATTATTTGGTTGTTTCTTTTCTATAGTGGCCAAACCTGTGCTACAGAGTAAGTGTGCTACTAAAGCACAGATATTGCTTATACACTTTCCTCCTTAAATATTTTCTTCTATTTCCAAAAGAGTCCATCCTTTTGGATTTTTATTTTCATGATAATTAACAGCAAAGTAGTTCAGTGACCTAGGAAGATTACCAAATAAAGTATGTAAAGCTTTTTAAAGTAAAAATATGTGCACCTTCAGCATAGAGTAAGACAGATTGTCTCCTTCATTAACTTCCAACTGAAAAAGGTATTTTGAAGTTGATTTAAAAAAACCCCAAACTTCTATAATGAAAAAGGTAATAAAGTAATCGTTAATTATGCATGAGGATTTTTGTCTGAAAGACAAAATTAAAAGCAAGAAATACCTTTAAAATATCTGTGAAATGTGAAGTTGAATTGGTGTGCTATATATTGTGTAATGAAAGATGATGTAAAAACTCAATATCTGCCAGTCAGTAGTAATTGGAATACAACGCCACATTCCACTGTTAACAACATTGAGTGAATGGATAACTCTGAGGAAAAACATTGCTGATTTCGATCATGAGTTTTGCTTGTTTGTTTGCTCTTTGAAATTATTTGCTTATATTTCCATAGCTAATTTTTAGTATGTTTGTCACTCATGAATAGATAAGCTGGAGAGGACTTGCTGAGTTACTGAATGCTGTCAGTTGTGGAAGGTGGCCTCATGCTGTAATCCCTCCACTAACTTGAGCAAGTTCTCTGTTAAAACTATTATTACTGAAAAGCCTCTTGGTGTTATAAATGTATAAAATTCTGACTTAAGTTTATCCATGGCTAGTATGTTTTGTATCAAAAATGTTCTGTAGCTTTTATAATTTCTCTGACTTGCCCATGTGTTTGTGGAAGGTCAGTCATAGTCCTTCTCTCTTTTGATAGGTTAAATAGATTTATTTTAGTAGCTGTTTTATTTGTTTTAGATTTTTCTTTTATAACAGCCTCTCAGTTATCGCAGACATCCTAGTGTCATCTTCGCATACTGTGCTAAGGCTAATCTTGAATGTTGGGGACAAGAAATGTGTACAGTCTTTGAGGGGAATTATGGCTGATGACTTGTAGTTCTGCTCATTCATGTCTATACGTACGAAAGTGACTTTCTTAATCTTGCATTCACCTTTTTCATATGCTGCATACATTTTTGTCTCTTAATTGATCAAGGATCAATGATATACCCAGGTAAGCTACATTTTATAACAGCATCTCATGGTTTCAGTTGATAAATAATGTTTTGCACTGGTTATCTTTCTATTCAATTTACTTTAAATTAGGTAGTTGGTTTTTTGCCATATCACATTCTGATCTTCTTTTCTCCTGCAATGACTTCTGGTATTGAATTATAGGCAAATTTCACTAATTCACTTCTTTCAGGGCTAAAAAACTTACCACAGTAGACCTAAGATCAGTCTCACAGAACTAATACTAGTAACTTCTCTCTGATCCAGTGTTTTCTTTTCTTTTAACAGGGTCCTTGCAGTATCTTCTTAATGCCATTTTTACCCACCACATAGTTATAGGAGCAATGCTGATTAATTTTTTTCTAGGACAAGAACACTAATTGGTTGTTAGAGTTCACCTAGTTTAGAGACAACATATGCCTTTTTTTTGGGGAAAAAGCACATGCCTTCCTACATAAATATATTGTATTGGTCTGGAATGATAATTCGATAATCCATTGAATTCTACTCCTCACATACTTTTTGTTTTTAACTGCTCTCCACTTTAAAATTTATTGTATATTTTGCCCTATTAAACATCACAATGAAACACTATTTTTATCTGGAGCACTATATCACTTATTCCTGAGCATAGATGAATTTTCTACTTTTCCTTCAAATATTGCCACCTAAATTTGATAGGCTTCTGGAAAATAATTTAAGCAAATCAGCAATTTTGCCATTTTCCTCCTGATTCTGTCAATTTCAGTACAATAAAGGCTTTGTTTTGTTTATGGCTCTACCCAGAAGTAGGAATATCTATTTCTCTGCATTTGTTTCCTTTAGCCCTTTGGTTTAATCAAATTTTGAGTTTTCTTTAAGCTCCTTGTAGTTTTCCAGGAAAATTGCAGTTTATTTTTCTCTCTCTTAATGTAATGATTCTGAATTCGTTTTAGTTTTATGTGCAAGCTGTAACCTGGCTTGACTTTTAGGTGTCTTCTGTTGAATAGCTGATATTTCTACTCCACATGAATTTGGTTTTATTCATAATATTTTTTTTAAGCATACAGCCATCCAGTTAGGTCAGAAGCCCCTATGCTATGAGGTTTTTGCCCCCATTTGAGAATCCAGTTCCAGATAGCTTTTTAATCTTCAGTACCAGCCTTCCATGAATTTGTTGGCGTGACTGGCTTGACTGATTACTTTATTTGTAGGAGGCTGCTTGTTTGGATTCATCAGCCTTGATTACAGACCTATTTCATTTAGTTTAAATTAGAACAACTGGATCAAAGATAACTTTTTGTGAACATCCATCCTATATAGTTCTCCTGCTTTATCAAAGCCAAATTTTAGGAAGCATATCTTATTGAGTCAGTGGATATTTAGTTGAAAGACAGTAAGTAGATTCAGTCTGTTGGTGGCAGCTTACCGCATAAATATTCATTATTTGAATTTCAAGTTATTTTGATTGGAACCGGAATTAATTAGCAAGTTTGTGCTCTTTGACTGAAATAAGCCTCATTTATCCTTCTAGTGCAAATAGTCACTAATAAGGATTCAAACCCACTTTTATTCAGCATTATGCATAAATAAAGTTTATTCCTCCAGTAAAGTCCATGCCAGCAGACTCAATCAAGAGCTGTAGATGATGGTATTATGAAATCTGGATATTATTTATTTACTATGCTGTATGCTGAAACCATATTTAAAAAGTCAGATTCTGGGAGCAGCCAACACTGAGTCTTAAATAACACTTCTAATATTCCTTCAGGATTACTAAAGAAGCACCTGGCACTTCAGTAAATGCATTGATCAGGACAAACGCTTTCTAACAGCACAATCTCTAAACTGTCTGTGATTTATTCTTTATGTAAAGTGCTGTACTACTTTGAAAATTGACTCTTCTCTTTAAAAAAAAAATCCAATAATAAAATGCTAATTTATTTCAGTGTCAAGTGTGTTTCATTGACATATCACAGTCTTCTTCTATTTGCCAGTTGTGCAGTCTTCAAATGATACCTGATAGCCTAGTTATGTTTTTCTTGACAAGCATCTGCAACAGCAACGAGTGTCAGGCGGACCAATGCATCCTTCAGTTATACTCTAGGAGCATGTTGCCTTGCAGTTGTACCCTCTCTAGAACTGTGCACCTATACAGCATTCCATGAGATACTAGTTACAACTAAGCATGTTATTTGGAAAAAAAAAAATGAAGCTGCACAGACAAGGCTGCTTTGGATTGGGGTTTTTTTGTTGTTTTGTTTTGGGTTTTTTTGAATGTGGTGAATGATGGTGTTTAAGTCATAAAAGCAGTCAGATTGCTGTCCTCATTAGACGTATGCTAGTCATGAGTAAATGGCAATAATAAATGCTGGTATGACTCAAGATGTGCAAAAACTAGAAGCACATCTAACAGGTTAAAAGATGTACTTGAAAAATAGGCTTTTAGGGCATGTGTACTTGAATATTTTTTTTCTTCTTAGCAACTGTTTTCACTGCAAACATCCATATGCAGAATGGTTTTGGTTGTTCCTGCTGTCTTTGTGACACAGGAGTAATCTACCAGAAGAGCAGACTTTGTGAAAACTGACATTGTAATCAAGAAATCCGTAGTCCAGTTGTCTTGATATTTTCATTCCTTTTCTGCCTGATACACAGTATTTTTCAAAGTTTAATGTAGTACATTATGCTGCCGTCTTTCATCAAGTATCCTGACAATTAAAACTGCATTATCTCCCGCCGCACCACCCCCCATGATAAAGGTGATCAGGAGAGCAGAAAAGAGCACAGCAGGCCCTCGTTCTTGTAGGCACTTTCAACAGTCTAATTTTGTCAATCTCCTTGGATGCCAATATTGAGAGAACACCAGGGCTACTCCCTGAAGCTACTAAAATCAACTTTGATTAATCTGTATTTCTGTTTGTTTGTTCTAGTTCTTGCAAGGTGGGCAGTTCAGGAGTTCAGCTGTTGGATCCCTGGAGTCTGTAATCAAGGCAGTGTGTAAAGAAGAATCTTCATTTTTCAGCAAAGCAAACCTGTTCATTGACATGCCCAGAATCAGGGGACTCTTGGAGGACAATATGGCAAAATATGGCATTCCTGAAGACTCAAGTAAGAAAAACTATCTATCACAAGTTGCATGTATGCATTCAGAGTTTAGAGAAGTTTTTTCTTCTTAAATGGAAATGTTTATATAGCAGCTGACATCTTGACACTGTAATCCTGAGCACAAGGGTTGATCAATAAAAGTTTTACAGCTACAAGATAATTGTGAATGAGACACAAGTGATTCTGGTTGTTTTCTTTCTTTGCAAATAATAAATAAGAATATTCCTGTCTTAGAGACATATTTATTAGAATTTTAAAAGCATTTGATATTAAAAATATATCTTTGAGATACAAGATTGAGAATTTATTGCTGCATGCCTTTCTTCTGTGAACACAAAGCTGTGGTATTATTGTGCAGTAAAAAATGCAAGCTCTCTGGATAAAATAAGTCTTTTAATAGTTGATATTCCTATTCTCTTCATCAAGTGCCCAGAAAATCTCTTGGCTCTTACATAATTTCACCTTTGCTCCCTTTCCTCAATATACATTTGACTTACCCTGATTAATTTTAATATTGCTAATAACCGCGTTAGTGCCTCAGTGGCCCTGTGTAAGAGAAGAATACCGTGATAGAGTGTCACTAGGGAAGGATCTGTGACTGTGAATCATGGCTCTATCATCTATCAGTATCTACAGCCAGAAACAGACTCTGGCTTGGCTGAGACCCTTGGTAGGGAGCCAGAGCTCTGCCCTAGCCTCCTTCACTTGTGTGTGGGACAGCAGTAAGCAGGCAGCTCTGCTTTTCTTTCCTATTTGAAGAATGGAGTTAGCAGGATGGCCGATTAGAGAGATTGTTTGGGATTCTCTCAAAGCTGTTGAGGCCAGAAGCACTATCTGTTTCTTGATTTCTTTTTCTTTTTTTTTTTTTTTTTTTTTTTTTGTTTTTTTTTTTTTTTTTTTTTTTTTTTTTTTTTTTTTTTTTTTTTTTTTTTTTTTTTTTTTTTTTTTTTTTTTTTTTTTTTTTTTTTTTTTTTTTTTTTTTTTTTTTTTTTTTTTTTTTTGGTAAATATTTTCACAACTCTGGAGTGTTGTAAGACCTTTTGCCTTAGGATCTTGAAATATCTTTAAAGAATCAGTTAGTTCTAGCACTCCTATGAGTGAATTAATACCATTTCCCATATTTTACAAATTGGTAAATGAGGCAATGGAAAATGAAAATAAAGATATTTATATGAAGTCACAGAAACTTGATTTGTACTCCCTCACAGTGATTAACTTGTATGTATTTTTGTGTACCAGACACTTGCCAATGACTTTCTGAAAACCACAGCAAACTCAGATTAGCAAGTCTTCTGTGTCTTTAGAATATTGATGTTTCTGACTGGCCAGCTTGGAGCCTCTTAATTCTTTGCTGTCATTTAGCAATGATTGTGTTTAGTAATGATTGTTTCCTTAAAGAAAGGAAAAATTTGGGCTAAGTATTGGGTGTTCTTAATGATGCATTTCTGACACTTGTTTCTTTAACTTTCAGCAGGCGTTTAAGTGGTTTTGGCCTAATTTTCCATTACGTACAATAATTTTTCTTCCTTGAGGAGCTGATGACATTATTTAATATTTTCTCACAGCACTGGAAATGGGATATTTCTAAATAGAGTTGTAATAAATAATAAAAAAACCCACCAAACACATGAGCTGGGCATAAAAATCTAAATGTTTCTCACAGGAAACCCATTGCCTTTACTTGAGTTCAAGTGCAGTGGGATATCTTGGAAGCTATTCGTTGGATCCTAGTTTTGAAGGACATAGACCCTAATGCATTAATAGCCCCATCTAATATAGGCACGTTTTTCGGTTAAGGAATGGAAAAGTCAATTGATTAGACTTTTCAAATCAAGAAGTTAAATGTCATGCCATTTTTTTTCCTGTATCTTTGGTGGGTTCTTATGAAGTTATACAAATGAAAAAGTCTGTATTTGTGAAGTAATTTGTGTGTTCCTACTTCTTTCTTAAGTAGGAATAGAAAGCCACAGGTGTAGAGGGTGTGGAGTGAGTCTATTTTTTTTTAAGGTGACTCCCCTCAGCATTCATTTTGTGGGCGGAGGTTTTGAATCTGTCCTTCCACTCTAAAATGCACTAATGTAACTTTTAGGATAGATGGGGTTCACAGGCTGCTTTGCACAAATGTGAGCAGCTCTTTGGATTCTGATTCTTTTTTTCTTGTTTAATGTTTAGAGTTCTACATGCTCAATGCCATCATAAACTGTGGTTAAACAATTTCTATTCAGGGACCTGTAGTGGTTGCTTAGTGGCAGCTGGATGGTATTTGGCACAGTGCTTTGGCAGACCCAAAATTAAGACTCAAGCTTTTCTTTGAATTAAAAAAAAAAAAAATCCAACCTTACCTGTGTCGTCCATCTTAAATGTGAGTCTGTCTTTGTCTTTGCAGCTCCATTTTGCTTGAAGCTTTATCAGGAGATTTTGCACTCTTCTAATGGGGCTTTGCTATGGACTTTCCTGAAACCTTTATTACATGGGAAGATACTGTACAATTCAAACATCAACATGATTGATGTGGTGATGGAGAAGGTGAGTATCAAAAGAAACGCTATTTCTGTTTATTGATTTTTGTCTTTGTACTTCACTTTAAAGGTCCGCTTCTTTCAGGGTAGGTAGAAACAATTGGATAATTGCCTTTCAGAAAACTACATCCACCCAGCTCCCGGAGTTCTCACCTTGTTCCCACTTTAAGCTTAATATTTCTCTAAACTTGTTACAGTGGTTTCACCTCAGTGTGAAAAGCAGAATTTTGTTCAAAGTCCCTTAAACCTTGTATAGAAAGATTAAAAAGAACACATTAGCAGGTGTTGTGTGAATCGTGCTGTATCCAGGTGCAGGATATATGTATTCCAAGTGAGCTTTTGCCCTCAACATTTTCTTATGACAAGAACTCTAATGGGGCAGCATAGGGAGCTGTGGGCAAGCGACACCTGAAAGCCTGTTCTGAGGAGTAACTGAGCTGTGTTTAAAACAAACAAACAAACCCCCCAAAACCCAAAAAACCTACAGTGCATCCTTCTTGATTATGATTCTAACACCAGTAGTATGAATAACCAGTAGTAGGTGAGCTGCCATATGTGTGGATGCTGATGACTTGATATTATTCAACAGTTTTACTGTCTCTGCAGTTTTGTTATGGTAGGCGCTCTGTCTTGAGCATGATTATCTACAATGATAATAGTCATGTTTGCTCATGACTAGCTTTGAGGCACTTCTGTAAGAGGAGGGATGATGACTTATTTTAAGTACACATTAGAGTTCTGTGCAAATGTTGCATTTATTTTGAAAATACATGATTTTTACCCTGGAATATTACTTCTTGCAACAATGGTAATTTAGGTTAATTTAAAATTAAAAAACCAACCAAACAACAAACCAAAACCAAACCATTACTGCTTGTAAGTGGTACACAAAAACACTGTAGTAACTTTAAATGTGATGGTAACTATTTTCCATGTAAATGGAGTACAGTGTGGTATTCTGACTTATGCTCTAAAAAGACTGTAAAAAAAACCTGAACCAAAAAACATGTACTAGATAGCAGATACTAGGTAACTTTATAGTTTCTGCTGTGAATCGGAAATAAGGTTTCAGTGATTTCATATTTTGCAGTTAAATAACTTAATTTGGGCAACAGGCCATCTTTCTGGAGTTGAGTATAATTAATTTTAAATTTTTAGTCACCTAAAAATGAAGCTGCTCTTGATGTTTATAGATGGAAATTCTATAAAGAATGAGTTGTAAGAAATAATAAAAATTCTGAATCATTTTGAATACATAATTATATTCTGTTACAACAACATTTAGAATAATGCGCTTAAGACATTTCCACATTATTTTGCCAATTAATATGCCAAAACCACATTCTTAAAAGTATCTGTAAGAAAGATAAATCCCCTGACATATGTTGTGTTCCCCCATAGATCTTTTAGTTAGTGAAATCAAGATTGAGTAACACAGTTCAGAATGAAGTTTGCTGGTTTTTTTTTTTTTTTTTTTCTTAATGCTCTGGAACTACACAAAGATTCTGGTAGATGCCTCTAGCACAATGTTCAGATTCTCATTATGTATTCTCAGGCTCACAAAAGTTCCATCAGCTTATTCAGGAATCTGTGTAAACACACCCCCACCCTTGCCCCAAACATGTAGATCTAACTAGCAATTATGGATGTGCATCTGTTTATGTGTAAATATGAAAGTAGTAGGAAAGTTTCTTCAACAGTGTTTTCATTTGTTTTATTACAGAAGCCTATCAGCTACTGCTTGAACAGAAACAAAATTTAAATGCAAAATATTGTCCCAGGTATCTCAAACACAGCTACTAAAAAGCAGTCCTGTAGCCCTTACACAGCCAAATCTCCTACTGAAATTGGAACAGAAGTTCTGATTTCCTTTAGACTATGTGACCACATGGCAGCTATTTACTAGAATAAAAAAGTAGAGGATTAAAGCTAAAAAGGACATCGATGTTTGTATATTTAAAGTATATTCTGTAAGTTTTTCACATGGACTATTTTGTTTCAAGACTGTGTAATTGATCATTCTTTGATAAATTGTGAGGTTGCTGGTTTTACCTTCTGAGAAGTCAACAGTTCTAAGGTGTAGAATAACAGTGACCACAGGCTGCATCACTGACTGAGAGCAAAAATGTTCAGTGACAACTGGCATCCAGGCGTTCAAAGACCACGTGCGATGTCTTTGATCCTTGCTTTTGCAACTGAACTTGCTGTCACTGATGAGCTGGTCTTATGAAGGTATTTCATATTTCAGAAGATTCTCAGAGTTGATCTTATATTCCAGCAATCACATTAGGACACCTTTGTGCTATTTCTTTGTAATTGGAACAGTCAGAATATACATATATATAAAATATAAATGTAGCAAGATAATTGAGAAATGAAAGAAAGAAAACTAGTCTAGAAAATTCATTAATTTCAGTTTCCTGTCTTTTTGTCTAGTATAATTAGAAAAAATGATAATGAGTAAGTTCTTATTCTAAACTTACATATCCTGTCTGGCTTTGCATAAGAATATTTGACTTGTCAGCCTATTAAAAGATGTCATTATAAAAGCAGTTCAACAAGCTCAAAATACCATTTTTATTTATTCTTATATCAGGAAGAGGTTTAGACATATTCAATCTAGACAGGACCGTAGTTGATATTGAAGACTCTAATTTTAATCAAAGGCAATATTCCGCCTAGGTGTTACAAAGAATATTTATTTTAATGGATCTTCATTGATTAGGAATAAGAGAACTTGAAGAGACTTTCTATTAAACATCAAAGTCCAACTAGTCATTAGCATACAAACTCACAGGAGTTACTTTACCATGTAAGATTAAGCATTCGTCTTGCCCTAGGTTTGATACTGTAATCACTAAAGGCTGTATAGGGAAGAACTGAAGAACATGTCAGTAAAGTGATATTCCCCCAAATACTGTCACAACTTCCAAAAACTAAAGGGTCAGGCTTGCCAGGACTTTACTGCTATAATTTCTCCATTTGCTTTTTGAGCTTATATAAACTTTTAGTATTCATAGTGCCTGTGGTGAGATGTTCTGCATCAACAACCTCTTCCTCACTCGCTTGTTCTTCAACTTCAGCTGAGGCAACTTCTTTTTAAAATCCTGTGTTTATATCTCCCAACTATATTTATGTCTGTTCTCCATTTTCACTACTACTCTTTATTGCAATTTGTTATTATTATAGCAAAATTAAAATTTGCTTAGTACAGATTACAGAATTATCTGTCTGTAGGCCCCTGGTTCCTTTAACATCTTTTTTTATGAATAGCATTGCATTTGTTATTTTCCAGTTCCCTGATAACAAGGGAATTTTAATCAGGAGGTTACACTACAGTGAGTACTTCAAGTATTTAATGCTTGAGCACTCTTAGAATTCTTGGCTGGATACTATCTTGTCCTGGAAACTACTTATTGTTAATTTTGTTAAGTTGTATGACTTTTTTTTTTTTTTTAACTGCTGCTTCAATTTGAGACGTTCTCTAAAGTATTCTCCATGTAGAAGGCTTCCAACACAAGAACTTCCCAAATGCCTTCCCAAAGGTGAATGAGAAAGCAAAAATAAATTTTGAACAAAACCCTTTTTTTCCTAGTTTTTCTTGTTTTCTTATTTGGATGTAACCTCAATTTTTTAAAAGGACGTTTTCTAATAGCTTCCTGATGTGTAGTGTGTGTGTGCATGCATATGGTCTTTCCCAAGTCTCTCAAATCTTTTTATGATAGGCAATATGTATTTGTTCAATTTCCTCTATGCTGCCTTAAATAGTGTCTGTACCTCCTGCACACAACTTACCCCTTTGCTCCAGTTAACCTCTTTCAAATAAGCTCTTACATTACATAAAGTTCATCTTTTCCAAAAATCCATGCTGCTGCAGTAATTTTTTTTTTTTTTTTTATTGTTTGTATAAGGAGGTTGAACACAAGCACATTATGGTTACTGTAGCTCTTTGAAAGTGACTTCAGCAAACAAAAAAAAAACCTGTGCCATTCAGAATCAAGTCAAGAAGCACTAAGATCTGAGCTCAGTAGAGCTGCTTGATATAACATTTTCTAATGATGTCTGAAAATTTGATCTCCTTGTGTTCTGGTGTGACCTGTGCTTGCTCTGTACTGGGGAAATAGCAATCTCCCATTTTGGCTGTTTGCTACCTTTGCAGCCTTTCTGGTCTCCCTTAGCTTGTCACCATCATGCCTGGACTGTGGGTTATGTGATCCTGATATTCAGGCCTGGGATTTCAGTCCATGAGGTTTCTGTCTTGCTTGTTAACAGAAGAACTTGTTTAGCTGATTTGACACCGAACTTTAGTTTAACATTTAGGATCACTGTCTCTTTGAAAGCGGAGTGGGGAATCTCGTGGAAGTTAAATGCATAAGTTCTTTCAGAAAAATGAAATTATCTGCAAGGGTCTCTTTGGGAACTTCTGTGCTACAAACTGGAAGAAAGAACCACCACAGACTGTTTTCCCATGTTGTGCTAGGAGTGGTATTTTGCAAAAGGCACTTAAAATATTATGGCAAAAATTGTGTACTTTTAGTAGGAATTACTGCAAAAAGTGTGGTCCCAAGCTGGAGTTTACAACTCATTGCAGACACTCTGGGAAATGTCACAATCTCTACCATAATAACAATGCTGGATTGTTCTTAAATGTACTTCTGTGACTGATAACACCAATTTAAACAAAAAGATACTGCAATATTTTCTAACCTTGAGTACACTTGTGATCTGTTTAAAACAGGCTGGAAAAAAATTGATGGTTGTTTGCTAGTGGCTGAGAGAGAAATTGTAGCTTATGTTTGACTGGGACAGAGAATATTTTGCTATACTCAAGTCTTCCTTTGCGAGAGTATTTTGAAATAGATTGATAGGTCAGTTGAATTTATTGCCCAGACCATGCTTCCAGCTTTCACTTTTATTATATATTCAGTCAAAGTAGTTTGAATAAAAGACCCACAAGGTGTGCAAAAGCTGTCTTTTGAATATGTCCTAACTTGTATTTTTTTTTCTGTCTTTCTGAAGCACCTCTATGATACTCTGTATGGAAGAGACATTATAAAATATAGAGGTCTTTATGATACTTCAGGTAGAAAATGTACATGTTGCAGGAAGACTTTTCTTTGATTTGCTTGGTATTCAGTGACTGCAACAAATACTTTTCATTTCCTAAGTAGAAAAAAGAAAACATGTATATCCTTACTGCTGACTATCGAAGTGAAATGGAAAGGAGTTGCATAAGATCTGAAGCATGCCAGTTTTTCTTAAGATTTGCTATGCACACTTTTTACTTCATTTGTCTTCATGTATTCTTTTTCCCAGGCTAATTTCACTTTTGGTTTTGTGGAGAACTTGAAGACTTATTCTGAGACATGGCTTAAGATGTCTGGGGTTTTTAAAACCAGTGGAAATGTCCTCATGGTCTCACGACTGAAGGTTGGTGAAGTGTGGGAGGGCTTCCTATTTTCCAATTATTTGCTGTGTGATCTAGACAGAACTTCTATACATGTAAAACTGCTCATCTGTCTGGCTTCAGGTTTAAAAAGAGCTGAAAAAGAGGCAGATTAGCTTTAGGTTATGAGCCTACAGTTTAATACTGAGAAACTTCTGCAGTAAAAATACTTGAAAAAAAGCAATGTTACCTTGCTATGTCCAGTATTACCAGGCAATAGGGAAATAAAACAAATAGGTACACCTACAAGCTTTATACACTTATTTAAAACAAGCGTAGGATTGTAGGAAATAAAATACCTTCTGGAAATTGCTTGTTTGAGACTTGCTGTTTCCAACATTGTGTGCAACTGATAAAAAAATGGCAATGTGGGAAATACTGACAAAATAAGAGCATTGTTGTTACTGGGATTTTTTGCATACAACATATCTGTGTCTCCCCTCCCCTCCCCCTCAATAAAATTTAGTTTTTGCCATGTTTAACTTGTAAAAACACGCATGGCTGTTACACTTGGGGAAAATAAGCAGAATCCTGTCATGGCCCATACATGTCAGTTGAACTGTTACTTTTAAGTTCAGTTAAGGAATGATGCTAGTAATCATGCATTAGACTTGCAGATCCCAGGATGCTCTTTTAGAGCTAATAATTTTTTTCCCCCTTAAAACTTGGCAAATGTGGTAAAGAAGATAAAATAATATAAAAGGAATTCCCAAATGCCAGTTTTTGAAAGAAATTTATTTTACTACTGCCAGTGCTAATAGTATAATGGCCCAAAAATCTTGCAGAAAAAGAAAATGGGTTTCTGTCCCAGCAGACTTGCAAGGACATTAGAATGGACTCACAGTTAAGATATTTGCAGTAAAGGAGGACAATGATGTACAGCAATGGGGAGTATATATTCTGCTGTTTATTTGAAATATGTGGAGTTTTTAAGAGGGGAAGACTGAAGACATGGAGAGGCTAAGTGACTTCTCCAGTGTTATGCAGGAAATCTTGGTAATGGAGTTGAACATGAATGCATATGTGTATTTTATATTTCTTTAGAGAAGATAAACCTGATATAACATCTAACACTTTTCGTTTTAGGAAGCACTGCAAAGTAATTTCATAAAGCACTTTATAGAAAGTAATTTGGATATTGACACGGAAGAACTCTTTAAAAAAATGCAAGTATATGGTATGTACATAAAAGTGCATGTACTGATTACCCTGATTAGATTTTAACTTGAACTTAGAACTACGTTCAGTTGAAATTGAGTGTTTTACCTACTTAAATGATACTAAAGTACCAGACTTTAAATTCTCTTGTTGAGTTAGTCTCAAATAATTCTAATTTACTTTAAATTTAAATACTTTAAATTTAATTTACCGGTCTGGGCCCAGATCAGCAGGTCCATGGCCAGGTCCACAGCCAGGCTGTGGTGTGGTGGGAGCTGCAGCCTGGAGCAAGCCCAGCCACAGCTCTGTGCCGCCCTGATGGGAAAGGAGTGGCCCTGGCTCCGGTGCCTGTGCGGGGCTGCCCAGCGGTGTCCCCCTGGGCCACAGCCATCCATGGCTACGCCCTTTCTGCATTGGTACTGAGCCCTGGCAGCCAGACCTCTGGGAGCAGAGGGCATGCCCTCCAGGGCCAGGTAGCCATCCCAAGGGGAACAGTTTACAATGGAGGACATGGGGATTATTATGAATACTTTTGTGTATACGGGGATTTAAGGAGGAGAAGAGAAAGGGTTATGCTGGAAATTTAAGTTACTTAAAAATTTTATAAGAATTTGGTAATTGAAAAAAATTCAGTTATGTCCTGCTGTCAGCAGGGTAGGTGCATGATAATTAAAATTGTTGCTGACATGCCACAAGGAACTGTCCATACCAAAGCAGAGTCTAAAGTCATTTAAGAAAAGTTCCTGATTCTAAGGACCAGAAAGAGAGGAAAAGTGGGATAAGATGCAATAACAGATAGTGTGACATCATGTACAAAGGGAGCTGGGTGCTTACTAGAGGAGGATAGTGGTAGATAGGACTGATCTGTGCAGTTTGTTATCAGTGAGTGTTAGGATAATTAGGAGCCAGACACAAATCTCTTCCAGCTCTTCATTGGAGGAGGGCAGTGATGAGCTCTCAGATGCCCTCATGAAGGGGCTGTGTGGACCTCATTACTGGAAAAAATGAACTTTACAGCAATACGGGTTATTAAGTCTGCTCTACAGTCAAAGAATTAAGTCTAGAGCTAAAATAAATAAATGAATGTACCTGAAGGACAACTTTTATTGGATTTCAGTACCTACCTCTAAGCAGGAGATGGGCAAAACCCACTGAAGCTCCTGAGAGCTTGCAAATGATGAAGTGTGTTCTCAGTCTTAAATTGTACTACTGCCCTGAGCTGTTGCTGTCATGGTTGGTGTGAGATGAAGTTCTTGGCTTTTCTTTTGCACACAGGATGTGACATTTAACTGAAACTGGCCTTGGTTTGAAGGCTGTGTTTGAAAGCTAGGACTAGCTATGCACACTTTCTCTAAGAAAAACGGCAAATGGTGTCCAGAATTCAATCCAGGAAGTAAGAATCTGGGCTCAGTATTCTCCTTAGGCGAGGGACTCAAACTTTAATCCCCTGTTTCTCAGGAAGATTTTCTTAAGCACTAAACTGTTGCCTAGTCTGGGTCAGGCACAGTTCACCCCTCATGGTGAAGCTGGATCACAATAGAACTAAAAAAAAACCCACAGAATCACACAATTGGAAAGATAGCGGGGAGGAAAGAGCAAGTCTCTTAACCCACAAGGCCTGCTGGAAAGAGCTGTCTCACTATATTAGTTGAGTAATAGATGGATTTTTTTTGTTTGGATCTAACACTGGGAATTACATGATAGGTTATGGGCAAACAATACTTCATTCAGTAGATTTCAAGATCTCTGAAGTTATCAGGTCCATCTTCACTGTTGCAGACAATATCATCACAGAAATCTGTGCATGTGTTTCTCAAGTTTTAGCTTTTTAACAGAGCTAAGGACATTTGACAATATGTAATAAATGGTTAATAGTCTTGGATGGTGAATACAGGCAATCATTTAAGTAGAATGGCTTATGAAACTAGAATTTATTTTAATGGAATACAGTCGATAAAATTAACATCTTATAAAAAGTGAAAATCAATATGGGCTATAGATCATAATAGCATTTAAGCCTTTGTGAAGCTGATCTTTCCAAAGTGCCAGGGCACTCTTCTGCATTTACACTTTGATTACACTTCTTACAGATTTGCTTTGTCATTTTGCTTTTTGAAAAATGACTATGCCCTCTTATTTCTATGTTGGTTTTGTATATGCTTTCTTGTTCATTTTATTAGTCTATAACCATATGCAGCTGTCACTGTAAACACCTGTTCTTATGGGTTTTTTTGTGGGTTTTTTTTTTTAAATTTCATTACTTTCACACTGTATCAGTTTTTTGGTCCAGTAATTATCTTGCTTGGATCCAATTAAAGTCTTAAATGTATCCATATATGTTATTGGTTTTACCACTCACAATCTGTTTATTTCCATCCAAAGCTCAAGTTTTCTAAAATCACCTAATCTGTATGAGTACGTATTTTGTCTTCTAAATAAAGCAAATATTCCCTTGCTTTATTACATCTACACTTGCATTAAGATGAATTCTAATTTTGTTCAAATCCAAGGTGTTTGTATCTTTTTTTACCTCTCTACAATGCTATAAAAATGGTTAACAGTCTTAGCGATGTTATTCACCCTGGAACTCCTGCTGGAAAGTGTTATGGTTACAGAGTGGATTGATGTAGAACGCTTCCAACTTCTTTATATAATTACCATGCTATAAGACCTCACAAAGTTATCAATTTCTAAAACTGTTTTACAGGGTTACTGTGTCAGTTTTACTCATGTGGAACAAAGTAAATATTTAACTGAGGGCAGAAAAGTTTGTGGTTTTCTTTTTAAACCCTTCTTTACTTTCTAAACTAGCTTTGTGTGGGCAAGGCAACTGCATTCCTCTATGCTTGCTTTCTGACCCAGCAATTTGCAATAATTTCCTCGGTGTAACTGATTTTATATAAACCCTGTCCTGCTAAAGCTTGTAAGCTCCTTGCTGGGAGCAGTCCTTACAAACCTCTAGAGACATTGTGAGGCGGCTGTGCTGCAGGCTCTTCTTTTAGATTCTTGCTTGCTGAGTCTCTCTCTTGTCCTTCTGTGATTTCTCCCAGATGTGAAGTGTTTCACTACCAAGGAATCTCCCTTATGGAGGGCTACATGTGCCCTGGGATGTAACAGCCAGGGTAAAAAAAAAAAAAAAAAAAAACAGGCAGCTTTCCTCCATGCTACCCTTCTGCTGCCCTCACGGGAATGAAATAGTTTTATGGAAAGCTGGAAACAAATAGCTCTAACATTATCACTAAAAACTTCCGCCACCAAAATCACCTGATAATTAGAAACCTTCTCCTAATTTCTGACCTAAATTAATTAATTACTGGTTTATTCCAATTTATTCTTGTGCAACCTTTTACTTAAATAGCACTTCTACCTAGCAGATTTACATAAAACAGTTACTTCCTCCCAGTTACTTAATGATAGGTTAAACAAGCTAAGTGGAAGATGGGGGCTATGTTGGTATGTAGCAAAGTATGAAGATAATAGTGAAAACAGATTTGCCGAGGGTTTTTTTGTTCATAATTGCTGCATTTATAATTGGTAAAAATACAAGATAGGCAATTCTATAGATTCTAATTCTAAAAGCTTCCTGTGGATTGTATCTGTTCGTATATACGTGTTATATCTATGCTAGAGTACAGAAGTTCATGCACATTGTGAAAGACAATATTTTGCTTCCAGAAATATTTAAGTATGCTGTACTCCAAGCAAGCAGCAAGGTAGTTGGTATTTCTTATGCTAAAATACTCAATATTTTAATTCATAAGAGAGAAGGGGTTTTAGTTAATTATTGATTTCAAATGAAGGTCTTTCAAAGATCAGGTGGTGAGGAGATCTCTGGTGATTTTTTTTTGTGTGTGTGTGTGTATATATATATATGGCTGTATATTGTTACACACACACATATATATAAAAATATACATATATATTTGAAAGCTTAACCCTACTACTTGGGCTTAATGTTAGGAATATTCTGTTCTCTCTAATGCCACAAAAGAAGTAGCAGCATAGGTATTTCCTTTGTTGTCCTCCTCAAGGATAGCAGTAAATAAGACATAGAGTATCCATATTTGGTGCTGTTTTCTCTCAACCCATGAATTCACCCTGTTATTGCTTGCCTGTCTTCTGAGTTCTAGACTATCAGTTCCTCCACTTTTTCTCCTTGTGATCTTTATCTCTTCTCACTGGTAATCATGTCTTTTCTCCACACTACTCCATATATTTTTCCATGTATCTGCCTTCCTATTGTAATATTTCCTGTTTTGACACTGAACAACATCTATGATCCAGGGTTTGTCTGTGTCCTGGTTTCGGCTGGGATAGAGTTAATTTTCTTCCTAGTAGCAGGCACAGTGCTGTGTTTTGGATTTAGTAGGAGAAGAATGTTGATAACACGCTGATGTTTTTAGTTGTTGCTGAGTACTGCTTATGCTAGTCAAGGACTTTGCAGCTTCCCATGCTCTGCCAGGTGCACAAGAAACTGGGAGGGGGCACAGCCAGAATAGTTGATCCAAACTGACCAAAGGGATATTCCATACCATATGATGTCATGCTCAGTATATAAGCTGGGGGGGGTTGGCTGGGGAGCAGCAATCACTGCTCGGGAGCTGTCTGGGTATCGGTCGGTGGGTGGTGAGCAGTTGCATTGTGCATCACCTGCTTTGTATATTATTATTATTATTATTATCATTATTGTGTTGTTATTGTTATCACTACTATTTTACTTTATTTCAATTATTAAACTGTTCTTATCTCAACCCAGGAGTGTTTCTCACTCTTACTCCTCCGATTCTCTCCCCCATCCCATCAGGGTAGGGGGAGTGAGCAAGCGGCTGCGTGGTGCTTAGTTGCTGGCTGGGGCTAAACCACGACAGTCTGTCACCACTATTATCAAATGAGGTCATCACTTATAGTTTTTAAAGCCTATATCTTCAAATGAGTCTTGAAAAATTTAAGATGGAAACTTGTGTTGGATGTTCTATAACATTGTTTATTGCCTGGGAAATTCAGATGTTACCATTAAATCCAGATGAGTTAAGACTGTTTCAAGATCATGCTATCCTTCTGGTTATTCTCTCAAATATAAGGATACAGTACTCTCTCTACATTCTCTACCAATGGATGAAGATCTGAATACCTCCAAAGGTTCAGTGTTTTTGGAAATCAGGCTTTGGTTGAGGTATGCATTCACCCTGGATCCATAGATAAGTTCAAAGTAAAAATGAAGGGGGCATAGGCTTTTTACAGATGGTTTTTAAATGTAGGGCTTGAGTCAAAATGCTTATGCCCTATATAACAAGGTGCTTGGCATATTTGCAGTGTCAAGGGAAGAACAACTGGCCAACACATTACTAGATGAAAGAGATGGGTCTCCGTTGTGATGCTCAAAGTACAGCAACTTGCTTGTATTTTTGGGAGTAGTTATGGAAAGATAAGGAAATGTTAAAATGTCCTACAGCTTCAAGGACATGGACTCTTTCTAGAACTTTGCTAGAATTTGTTGCATGTTTGTTGCTCTGAAATTGAAGGAAAATATAGTTGAGGACTTGTAAAAGCCACTGAAATGTGAACTATACTTCCACAAGTTCACACTAAAATTCCTCTGTTTTAAAAACATTTTCCTTTTTTTAAATGCAAAGGGTATTTACTCTTACAGGATGTACAAGTGAGAACATACCTTTCTCTTCTGTTCATTTAAACTAAGGAAGTCCAATTTGTTTCCTTATCTTAGAAACTATGATGAACAAGATGCTTAACAGCTCAGCAAGTAAACAGATTGACATGTTGTCACAGCTTGTAGTAAATATCTCTTCCTGTGTGTTACTGGACCGTTTCCAGCCTTTTGACTCTGTTGAGAAATTGGAGGAGAAGGCTCATGAACTCATACAGCAAAATAATTTTTTGGCTAGTAAGTACCTTATTTAAAATGTATATTGACCAAAACCATCAGCCTTTGTAGTTGTTGTCTGTGTTTATAAGGTAGGTTAAGCTTACATAGTTTCAAAGTATGTATCAAAACACATATAATACAGGCAAAATAAAGCACATTTACCGTAGAGGTATTTCCCAACATTTGAATACTGTAACATATGCTGTAAAGACTAATTGTATTATTGTTTTAATTGTGGAACTGCCAAATGAATCCTTGGAGTCTGTTGTTTCTAAAAAAATATTGAAAAGAATAGTCATAAATGTTTAAAGTAGAATAAAATGAGCTGAAAAATGTATAGTACTGAGGAAACTACTACTTATTATGACAAGATCATCTAGTTTACATCCTTTTGAATTTTAACTTTTGTATTCTTGGCTTTGCAAAAAGGAGGAAAGAAAGGGTTTTTTTTGGTAAGCTTTATTCTTAAACCAACACCTCAGAGAAATTAACTTGTTTATTCAGAGTAAATAAATTCTTAAGCAATGGATATATTTCTTTTCTTCCCTGGGATTACACTCTCTATCCTTTTCCTGCATTATATCCTTATTGCTGAGGATTAATTAATTGTACAAAAGACTTTAAAAGACAAGAATGTTTTTGTTATTACACGCGTTTTCTCTTTTCACATAAAATTCCTTAAGTTGCATGTAGCCTTTCCAAAAGAGAGCCCTATTTAAGTCTATGTAAAGTGTACCACCTTTTTTTCCGCTGTTGTTTTGGTTTTTATTGTCTTCCTGGACTCCTGTAAGTACACAACAGAAGACATGTCAAAGCAGTTCTAGAGAATGAAACTACTCAGTCTGGAATCCTATGTGCACGGTACCCCAATTTGTAAAATGTAGAAATGATCACCCTCCATCAATATAAAACCAACAGGCCATACCATGAGATAAGGAAGATTTCTCAGGAGTACTTCGTTGGGAGGGAAATGGTTTGCCCCTTCAAGGGAATAAACAGACAGATACATCTTGGCCCTCAGAAGATTAAATTGTCAAGTTCTAGATCCATTTTGCTTCCACTTACATGGGGAAAGGTCGTATGCTAATGTAAGCCAAGACATTTCTTGGGAGCTTTTTTGATACTGTGGCCTTATAATCTTTTCACATGCTTAAAGAGGGAAGATGGCATTTTAAGGGACCTAATGTGTCCAACATGTCAATATTACATGCTCAGATACAGGCATACGTTCCTTTCCATAGATAAAACTAAAGTGGAATTTTCCTTTCTTGCTTTGTTTGTAGTCTTCAAAGCCTTTATAGACTCATGAATTATCTCAGGAAATTAAATGTTTGCATAAATGGGAAAATGAGGTTGGCCAGTTGAAAAAAGAAGCTTTACAGCAAAGTAAAGTATTATATATCATATTATCTTTCAGTTCCAGGTGGTAGGTAAGATATCTCTCCCCTTTCTTACATCTCACATTCATCAAGAAGGCCTAAAAAGTCTGGGTCATCCAAAAAGAAAATACAACTAATTTGCTGTATTTGACTTCATCTTTCCAGCTACAGGTTAACCATCTGCTGTTTTTTTTCTACATTGCTAGAGAAAATAAACATGCACATTCTGCTGTGCTAAACCAGAAGATTTGTAATTGACTCGGAAATTAAAAATCAGAGTAAATTTCAGTGTGTTGGTACTGTTTACTTTGTCACCTGCTTTGAGGAGTTGTTATCTTTTGATGGACAAATTTTATGGCCACTGTTTTTACTGTGGAATTGAGATCAGTTCCCCAAAAGGGACTAAATCTGGATACAAAGAGAATAAACCAAAATTCAAAAAAATCACAGAAAGAATTTTCTCAGATAAAAATGATTGTTGCAAACCGATTTATCATGTGAGTAATTCTTTACATTTCATATTCATGAATGTAAAAAATGTAAGTTGCTATGAAACCTACCATTCTTGTGTTGGGATGTCAAGCAACTTTAGAGGCCTGCCATGACAGGTGAATGTATCCTACTATTGTATGATAACTGGACATAAGTTATCTATGTAAGTAGCATAAATCATATAAGCTTGGGTATGAAGTGCCTTTTCTTCTTGCGTCAGGTATCATCTTCGATACGCCAAAGAACAAGACACTAGATTCTAGCAATCTCCTTCCATGACACATTTCATATACAATTAGAACCAGTGTTCTCTACAGCACGAGAACGGATTTGATTAAAAACCCAGCATGGAAATCCCATCCCCAGAAGTTGCCAGCTGATGGGTTTAAATACAACCACATCTTTATTCCTCTTCAAGACATGATTGAAAGGGCCATTATTTCAGCACAGACTGGGACAGATACCTCAGAGCCAACCATTCAGGTGCAAGCCATGCCTTACCCTTGTCATACCAGTGATCTGTAAGTAAACTTTCAGCTTTTTAATTCAAGATATTATCCTTATAAGATTAGTGCTAGAGGACTTGGGAAGCTGCTAGGTCTTTGTAGTGGGTGAGTGTATATCTCAGCACAGGATTGATCCAGTATGTACAATACCAGAATATTACAGTGTAGCAAGCGTTGTTTAACAGCTGTGACCACAACACATTATGCAACTTTTGTCTGGCAAATGACCCCTTACAGGCTGTTTGCAGCTATACTGTGGTGTAGTCTGCTGGACAGAGATTGCGTCATGCATACTGTGCAACTAACTTAGATTATGCTAAGATATCCAATTTCCATCCTTAGTTGTCCTGTACACAAACTGTGAATTGCTCCCTGGTATATGTTGAAATACAATGCAAAGTTGATGAAGCAAAAGAAAAAGTGTAGGCCGCTTCTTTGTAAAACCATCAAAACATCCTGATTATTAGAATTTAATCAGTGGTAATAAATCTGTTAAAGTGGAGCAAAAGTTGACTGGCTCATGTTATTCCTTTCTGTCCAAATATATTACTTTGCCGTAGACACAAATCTGAATTCTGTTTGACTCTGGAGCCTTAAAGAATGATTACATCAGTTGTATTGTTGACAAATACTAATATAATATTATAGTACCAATACATACATTTAACTTGTTACATGAAAAATAAGTAACTCTAACCAGAACAAGAAGAAGTCTTATTGCTCATGTCAGATCTTTTGTGCATACTTTGAGAATAGTCCCAGTATTAACCTATTAACATTCTGCTAAAGAATATTTTTCCCTTGGGGGCTAACATCTCTGCATATATTTTCTTTCATAGATTCTTGAACAATATAGGGTTTTTTTTCCCACTTATGATGATGTTAACATGGATGGTTTCAGTTGCTGCCATGGTTCGCAAGCTGGTTTATGAGAGAGAAATTCATCTTGAAGAGGTAAGAGGCAGATTAGCCTCTGAAAATAAAATATGTTTATTAAACTGTACTGAAATACAAAACTTAAACTTTGAGGTACAATTACGTCCAGCTGGCTTTGTTTTCAGTTGTTTCCTCTGGGCAGTAGGTTCTAGTTCTAGCTGCCAACTCAGACTCACAACAGTTTGAACATCAGTCCTCTTAGTATACAAATATCATCCCTGAGAAAAAAAGCAATAAGCAAAAGATCCATAAAAGTTGAAGTTGGAACCTGTTGTTTGGAAAAAGTCCTTGTGATTAGAATGGTTTTTATTTTAGATTCTTCTTCATGTTTTGATATATGTGGTCTAAAATAATAAAACTTCCTAAACCAAATTAAAAAATTGCCATGTACTGTGTAGTTATCAGAAAAATAAGGGAGCATGACACAGAAAAAATGAGACAATTATTTGCTTATACCAACAGCTAGTCTTAGCAGGTACTAAGCATATGGAAAGACAGGGGATTTTATGATACATTTTCTGTATGGATAAATATACTTTTTTTAAAGAATTATACTGGTCTTTATGCTGCTGGGGTAAGATTTTTTTTAATTTGGGGAATTATGTAATTTCTCTAAACTTTTTGCTGTAAGATAGGTCTTTTTTTTTTAATGCTTTAAAATATTAAATAAACTTAATAAAGTTAATTTTGATCATCTTATGAGAAATGCTTCAGAAGTAGTATTAGGTTGTTTCCAAAAGCATTTTTTTAAAAAAGGAGGGGTGATACCTCATACCTGACTAAATTATTTTTCATATGCTAATACATAAAGGTTTACAAATGTATCTGTATGTTACTTTTAGTTCAGCAACAGGTTGGGAAAAACTATTTGTTTACACAGTGCTGTAGATACCCTCTGTACTTTTTGGAGTATAAAAAGGCAAACTCCTCACTGGAGGACCCAGTAATCCGACATCTGGTCTTGCAACCCTATGCAAAAGAGAGTTGTGCCTCAGCACTGGGATTCTTTATGTTAGTATGTGATAAGCTCAGAGGCAGCCCTGCTCAGAACTGTGTTTGATCCAGGAGAGAGAGCAGCAGAAGGGGTAGCACAGGAAAAGGGAAAAGAGATGAGTAATTTAAGGAGATGATGATATCCTTTAGGGAGCTGGTAGTGTCTTGGTAGCAACATGTTTTGTTTAAAAAAAAAAAAGAGAGAGAATAAAATTTGTTTCCTAACTTTAAATCTCTTTGCTATGTTGTCTTGCAGTATATGAAGACAATGGGTGTACATCCAGCCATTCATTTCTTTGCTTGGTTTCTGGAGAATGTCATTGTGCTCACAATAAACAGCTGTGCTCTGGCCATCATTTTAAAAGCAAGTGGTATCTTTGCAATGGCTTCCTCATCTTCCTTTTTCTCCTGGATTTTGGCGTTACAGTTATTATGTTAAGCTATTTTTTAGGAGCTTTTTTTAGCAGTGCCGATACAGCAGCTGTGTGTGCCAGCCTTGTGTATATGATCAGTTTTTTACCCTACATAGTTTTGTTGGTCTTGCAGAATCAGTTGAGTTTCACCAACCAGATTATAATGGTAAATATTTATTTTCCTTTTCTAATTTTTCTCCTCCAACCATGCTGTAGATTTCCATAGTTTTGAAACTAGACTATAATCTACTTATTTTTTTCCAGGTTTCTATTTGCTTTTGTGTTTCACTGAAAGTAAGTCACCTTAATAGATATCCAACTGACAAAATGTTTTGATTGTAGAAAGGAATAAAAAATACACTTTCAGGGAAATTTTGTAAACCTACAGAAAATATAAGGAACTTGCATTCCTCGTGCTCATGAGTTCTCTTTATGCTTTGGCCTCAAAACTTTTGTAAGGTTATTGTATACCTGATAGGTATACAATATATCCTGATAGCCCAGGAAGCATACCTGATAACATGCCACTCCTGAAAGTCATTATTTGTTTAGAGGAAAACTAGTGATTGATTCTCTGTTGAGTACAATTGGGGATTAGATCAGAAATTTGTCTAGTGCTTATCTAGCTATACAGTCTGAGGTATAAGTTTCTTGGGCATCAGTTCTTCCGTGTCCTTTCCTGTTTTATGTATGCCATGGGCTGTTTTATGTCTTTGTACTGTCATAACATACTATATCCCTGCTTGGGACATCAAATGTCACCATCATACAATGCAAACCATATTTCACACATTAGGGTTTCAATCTTTCAAAATAACTCACGCACCAAATTAAGCTGGTGGAATAATTCATACACTATTAAAAAAAAATGGACACTTTTTCAGTGTCAATTGGTCAGATAAAATATATCTGTTCTTTGCATACAAGTAAGCACAGATGTAAGACTGCAGAATTCGGGCATAAGTAGGCAGGGTGGAAATATTTTTTTCTGGGTTTTGTTTTTTTTTTTTTTTTTTTTCTCTCCTTTGGGCCACAGAGAGGGAAAAGTATGCATCAGATAACTTGCACACTTTAAAATAAGTTATTTCAAAATAACTCTTCAGATATCCTGCATTTGTTGAAAATCAGAGGCAGCAGCATGTGAAAAAGGCTATAATTTTTGAAAAGAGGGGAGAGGCGATCAAGTGAGATGGTGAAACCTTAGCAATGTAAGAGGCAGGGACTCAGTTGATGGGAATTAGCATGAACTTCTCTGTACAAAAAGGTAATCCATGCCACTAATGATTTTGGTTTTTTTTTTTTTCTAAGTAACAGCCTATGTTATACTTCTTTCTTCAGACAGCTGGCAGGATGTGTTCCTTTTGTGTCAAATATTGCAGAAACCTTATTTAATTGCACTATTTTAAAATAGGAGATAAAACAAACTTCTATTTCAGCTCACTTTCAAGTTGCAGGACTTTATCATTGAGCAATGCTTATTAATTTTAGTAATGTTTTGGATCTCCCCATCAGCCTTCACGAGCTCACCCTTGTTTTTCCATTGATCATCAGTCACATTTCCTTGTTATACTACATCAGTAACTTGCTCATTTCCCATTTTGTACTTTTGTGATATAGCATGACTACGTTGCTTCTTGGAAGTCAAATGTTATTTGCTTGCACAAAAATGCTGTCTCAGCATATAGTACCCCGTGTGCTTGTGCCTTCTGCCTCTGTCTCTTCTTGAGTTCTCGTTTTACAAAAATGAGTAGGACCGCTGCTCCTACTACAGAAAGTATGTTCCTTTGCATGCTTTTACAGTGTTATACATTATATGCTTTCAGTATGTGGTAGATTTGTGATGGTCTACAACTTATTATAAAGTTAAATAATGCTTTCCAATATTAATAACTAGGTCAGTGGAGAAAATACTACTGCTGTATGTGGGGGAGTATTATTAAAACATAAAAGGAAATAATGACCATTAGCCTGCATGAAACAAAGGTCTATTTGTTTTGTGCTTGCTTTTAGTATCACAAGTTGTTTTATATCATGGCGCTTGTTAATGATGTGTTTTATTTGATGTTCGCATCCTGTTTCTCCTCTGGTATTGCAGTGTCTTCTGTCTACAACTGCCTTTGGGCAAGGAGTATTTTTCATTACATTCTTTGAGGGCCAAGAAATAGGTAAGCTCTCTGGTTAGAAGAAAAGCTTTGTAATTGTTATTTTAAAAACTACAGTTGGCAATGTTTTTCACTTTGTTCTGAAAAAAGTCTCTAATCATGAGTGAACAGGATAGACCATAACATAAGAAAAACCTTTTTAATGCCCCTTGAAAACCAAGTTAAGCTTGTGCCACTTCCTAGCAGTAAATTAAAGTGGGCTTAGCATTGCTCTGTTTGCAATATGCATTGGAGAAATATCTCCACATCCTTTTAGATGACAGAATGAGTGTATTCAGCCAATAAATTGTTCTACAGGCGCAAACCCAGAGTTTAGTGAAATTCAGTAGAGCTACCTAAGGATGAGCATCTGACTGAATATTATTTCACTCACTGAATGTGTTATTTCTCTCAGTCCAGTGGAGGAAGCTTTGGCGAGGTATTTGTAGCAGTTTCTTGGAAATCTTCAGTAACGTCAGTGGCAGCTCTAATGCTTGCTTTCTGGTGAGGATATCAATAGGGAGTTTTGTAGGATCACAAAATGGTTGAGATTGGAAGAGACCTCTGGAGGTCATCTAGTCCACCCCTATTGCTCAAACAGGGTCACCTAGAACCACTTGCCCAGGACCGTGTCCAGATGGCTTTGGAATATCTTCAAGGTTGGAGACTCCACAGCCTTTCTGGGCAACCTGTGCCAGTGCTCAGTCACCCTCACAGTGAAAAAGTGTTTCCTGATGTTCAGAGGGAATGTCCTGTGTTTCAGTTTTGTGCCCATTGCCTTTTGTCCTGTCACTGGGCACCACTGAAAAGAGCCTTGCTCTGTCTTCTTTGCACCCTCCTTTCAGGTATTTATATACATTTGTAAGATCGCCCTTGAGCCTTCTCTTCTCCAGGCTGAACAGTTCCAGCTCTCTCAGCCTTTCCTCATAGGAGAGATGCTCCAGTCACTTAATCATCTCTGTGGCCCTTTTCTGGACTCTCTGCAGTACCTCCATGTTTCTCTTGTACCAGAGAGCCAGAACTTGACCCAGTACTCCAGGCGTGGCCTCACCAGTGCTGAATAAAGGGGAAGGATCACCTCCCTCGACATACTGGCAATGCTTTGCCTAAGGTAGCCCAGGATATCATCAGCTTTCTTTGTGGCAAGGGCACATTGCTGGGTCATGTTCAACCTGTTGTCCATCAGGACCCCCAGGACCTTTTCTGCAAAGCTGCTATCCAGCTGGGTGTCCCACAGCATATAGTGGTACATGGGTTTTTTAACTTGACAGGTGCAGGATTTTGCACTTCTTGTTAAACTTTATGAGATTCCTGTCAGCCTGTTTCATCAGCCTGTTCAGGCCTCTCTGGGTGACAGCATGACCTTCTGACATATCAGCCACTCCTCCCAGTTTTGTGTCATCAGCAAACTTGCTGAGGACACACTCTGTCCCATTATCCAGATTGTTAATGAAGATGTTAAACAGAATCAGACTCAGTATTGGCCCCTTGGGTATACTGCTAGTTGCTGGCTTTCACCTAGACTTCATGCCACTGATCACCACCCTCTGGGCCTGGCCATTCATCCAGTTTGCAGTCCACCACACTGCCTACTCCTCCAGCCCACACTTCTTTATCTTCTTTAGGAGGATCTTATGTCAGACAGTGTCAGAAGCCTTACTGAAGTCCAGGTAGACAAGATCCACTAGTCTCCACTCATTTACCAGTCCAGTCCTTTAACCACAGAAGTTTAAATCAAGTTGGTCAAGCATGACTTCCTCTTGGTGAAGCTATGCTGGCTACTCCTGATGATATTCTTGTCCTTCATGTGCCTGGAGATGGTTTCCAGGGTTAGCTGCTCCATTACCTTCCCAGGGATCGACATGAGGCTGACAGGCCTATGGTTCCCTGGGTCCTCCTTCTTGAAGATAGGAGTGATATTTGTTTTCTTCTAGTCTTTGGGCACTTCTACCAATTGCCATAATTGATCAAAGATTATTGAGAGTGGCCTTGCAATGACATCTGCCAGCTTCCTTAGTGCTTTTGAGTGCATCCCATCGGGGTCCATGGACTTACGTATGTGCAGTTTGCATGAGTATTCCCTGATCCTCTTCCACCAAAGGTACATCATGCTTGCTCCAGACTTTTTCCTTGGTCTGTGGGGCCTGGGATTTCTGAAGATCAGACTTCCTAGTAAAGACTGAGGCAAAGGTGGCATTCAGTACCTCAACCTATTCCACATCCTGTGTAACCAGGTCCTCTGTCTTGTTGAGCAATGGGCCCACGTTTTCCCTAGTCTTTTTTTTTGTCACCTATGTACTTCCAGAAGGCCTTCTTGTTGTCTTTGACAACCCTGGCAACCCAGATTCAATTCCATTTGGGCTTTAGCTTTCACAACTTCATCGCTGGATGCTCGAACAATGTTTCTGTGTTCTTCACAGGTTATCTGTACTTGCTTCCACCCTCTGTGTGCTTCCTTTTTGTGCTTGAGTTTGTCCAGGAGCTCCTTGTTCATCCATACAGGCCTCCTGGACTTTCTACCTGACTTGCTGTTCATTGGGTTAGACTACTCTTGAACTTGGTAGATATGTCTGGTTCACATATGCACTAGTGTATAATACAAAGGAGGTTTATGAGAACAATATTGTACAGAACAAGAACAGTGTAAGTTATTCACTCTCAACATAATGCTAAGATGAATATTTAACTATTATACATTGGAAAGTAAGCAAAAAAATTACCTTTTCTTTGTAAAGTATTTTGCATGTTTCTCCTGTGTGACCCTATTTGTACACAGCCTGAGTAGCAGCTTGCCTCTGCAAGCTTGGAGGCAGCTGATGAAATCCCCACTGAGCTACTGTGCAGGTGCAGAAATGCATGAGAACACCCTATCATGCTTAAGTGTTAGGAAGAAAAAAAAATTATTGGAAAGTGGCTAGGTGTTCTAACAGGTTGCTACGTGTTTTAACATGGTGATCCCTACTGTCCCCAAGCTAAGAAGTGCCCTTATTGATGCTGAAGTTTTAGAAAGGCAAGAAGTGAATGTCTGGGCCCTTGATAAAAGTCTACAAAAGATATGCATTTATGTATCTAAATATATAAAGGGATGTAATCCCTTTCTTTTTTTTACTACTACAGCAAGATCAATATTGATGACAGTGGTGTTGAAAAAGTATCATAATGATACAAAAGTTGGTAAAAGTGGAAGATACAGTTGCAGAAAATATTACTTAAATTTCCCACCAGACAATTCATCAAAATGACTCATCTTTACTGAAGAAAGGGCAAAACACGTTTTGTGGAAAAACTGCTTTTCTCGACTATCATAGAAAAAAAACTGTAGAAACAATATCATGACGCGCTCTACTGCAAACAAAGTAGCATTTTCAGAAAAAATGCAATGCTTTTTGTAAATCTACAATTTGGTTACTTTTGTTTTCCATTTAACAATATGGTAGCTTTCTGTAGTATTAGTGTTTTATGCCTTCTTTCTTCCTTTCATGTCTTCTGCAATGTAATAATTTTAGGAAGCAATTATTCAGAGAGTTTGTTGTTCCAGTTTACCTCTGAATACAGTCAATGCACACAAATACTTGCTTCTTAGTTAGAATTCACAGATTTAAGTTTTCAGATTTAACATTATAGAAATGACTTTAAACCTTGTGTAACCCATTTCTTTATAATATCAGCAGAATGGCATAAAACCTGATTCATTGAAGAGGTCAGTGCCCTATTTTGTCAGTCATAGTTCTTTTTCTTTTGCCCAGTTAAGGGCCAGCTAAAACTTCATAAACAGCCCTTTCTACAACAGCTTCTCTGCATTTTCCCAGCAGCAGTGTCACCTGCTGCTCTAAACAGAGGCTTGTAGAGGCATAGCAATTCATTTCTATTCATTAGGATTACTGTTATTAACTATTTTCTTTTTTTGTGGCAGTGCTTAAATACCCAGAAGTGTGTGGTGTTGATGTGTTTGTGATCTTTAATGCTGTACTGATTTAGCTTTGACCTTTAAAAAAATCATTATTATTATTACTATTTTTACCAGGAATTCAGTGGAACAATATGCACCAGTCAATGGCACAGGGAGGATGCATGACCTTTGGATGGATGTGCTGGATGATGTTCTTTGACTCCGTTTTATATTCTATAGGTGGCTGGTATTTCAGCAACATTATTCCTGGTAAGATCATGGAGTTGTCTTATTTCATGTTTTTGAAGTTATTGAACGGAATGGATCAAATTTGTTTTCCTCATTGTATGCAACTAAACCAAAAACATACCTTTTGCTGAGCTGAGGTTTTGATGTGCAAAACTGCCTGATTACCTTTAGGGACTGGGTAAGAAAGTCTTCCTACATACATAAATATTGAGTAGTGCTAACACGTGGACTAGAATTTGTAGCCAGACATGAAATATCTTTTGTTTCCTATGGGGATGAAGGGCTTAAGAATTTGTACTTCACAGTGACAGAGCTCAGTCTAGTAGCAAAACTTCCTGTGAAAATGGTGAATCTTCTGAGCCAGTACTTGGGCTGAAACCAACGAACAACATGTTTTCAGATCACAAAGACTTAAAAATGCCTGGTATACCTTGCTTCCAGTCAGTCCACAGTCCGATGCATAGAGAAAACTGATTAACTTTCAAGTATATTTTCAGAAAGTAGTGTGATTTTTTTTTCATTAACCAAGTTTTATGAATTTGAGTTGTCTGATGCATGTTTAATCATAGCCTAATGTCTCACTAGCTGCTACCTTTCCTCTGATTTTCAAATGTCACCTTTTCTTCCAGCTACTCTGTATTTGTTTTAAAAATATAAAAATAAAAAATGAATTTTGCCTTGAAAGATAGGGGTGTGTGCAATATACAACTGAATTTTACAAACTTTAGCTTAAATTGACACCTGCTCTTCAGTGTCAATGAAATGTAAGTCCAAACATACAGAGAGTGTATTGTGTGATTGGTAAGTGAAGCCTGGAAAGGTTGGGCAATGCCAAAGTTTAGGCTGTGTGTAGGAGCATATTTTTGCCCTTTCTGTTTGTGTACTACAATAAATGTTTCCTATGATGGCTGATTTGTTTAAATCATGCAGATAGTAATAGAAGTATAATCTCTAATGACTGGTGCAATGGATTATTGTTATAATAATAATAAAAAAGGCTGCTTGCCTTGGCAGGCCATTTGGTGCATTTTCTTTCCTCTAGGTTACAAGATTATGTTAGACTGTGCCTCCCTGTTGTTAAGTATATGATTCTGTTACATTTTAATGCTGATTTGGAGATAGCATAAAGCACAGTGTCACTAAGGATTGACTATTTTATGGCAGGACCTGGTATTATGGCCCAGTGACTTTTTTCCACTTTATTAAGGTTTGTTAAGTGCAGCTAAGAATTTGAGATAAATAGTCTAACCAGCTCTTTGCAATTAATGATAGGACATTAATAGTTTACAAACAAATATGAAATGACTACAAATTTTGCAACAGTTTCTATCATAATTATCATCTAGGAAAATTTGGGTTAAAGAACCGGTGGTACTTTCCCTTTACTGTTTCGTACTGGAAGAACCTGTGTGGTGCAAAGTGGAGGAAGAGACATTGTTTCAGTTCTAATATGTTTTTCTTCAATGAAAACTTCCAAGAAAAAGGTTTGTAGTCATAATAGAATTTTGATAACAGCTCTCTTCTGAATGGTGTGCTGATTTTTATCAATCTGCTTTTATCATTGCTTGGTGCTATATTATGTGTTTAGATCTTGTCCCTTTCTCTCCTCCATTATATAGTGTATACTATGAACATTATATACTAATTGTTAATTGTGCTGTCACCTGTAATGCTTGAATCATTCCATTAAAACTATTGTATACAAATATTTAAGAAAACTCTTAAAAAAAAAAAGTAAAATAAGTATCTCTTGGGTTCATCCTGTCCCTGTGTATTGCCTCTTTGCTTTGTTAGGATCTTCTGAAGTTCCTTGAACCATTTCATACCCTTACTGAATCTGAAAAGTGTTGTGCTTTTACTTTTTTTTTTCCCCTGCAGTTTGATTTTCTTCCTCTTCCTCTGCTGTTTTTATTTGCTTCTTGTTTCAGTGGAAAAATTACCTTTGTTCATTTCTTTCCCTTCTATTTCTTACTTTCTTCTAAAATCACTGATCTTTCTGTCTCTGCTTCTTAGTCTTTTGTTTAAAAAGCTACTGTTATTGTAACTAATTTTTATCTGGCTCCAGATACTTTCACTGCTCTTCTATTTCTTTGTTCACTTGCTTAAAATTAACAGGTTTTTTAGTTTTTTTTCCCCTCTCGGGTCTCTTTAAGAACTTTCTCACATTTCATTTATATTTTGTGAATGAAGATGTAAGTCACACTCACCTGTATTCCCTCTTGAACCTTAGAACAATGTGATGGGTTGTTGTGGTATTTTTGGAAGTTACAGTAGCTTGGAAATGATCCAGTTGTCTGCAGCATAGGTTAAGAAGCTGAACAACTCGGCAGTTTTATGTATTGGTATCTCCTGGAGTAGGGCAAACTTCAAAATGTCTTGAGGTTCATGGAAACATTTGTGAAAAAACTATCAGTATGAATTTTGCCTAATTTCTACAGTTCGGAACAATTCCATTTTGTTGAGATGACTGTCTTTGGTCCTTACTTAAAATGAAGATTTTCAGTGTTTACCCTTGGGTTCACCTCATCCTCTGTGGAAAGCAAAGAAAAAAAACTCTCTTCTGCCTGAAAAGTTACTAGTGTGATCTCTGGCTCAAGCCATGCAAGTGATTGCCTACAACTTTGTGGATCTGTTCATGTCACTTCTCCTCTGCTTAAATTGATGCGTGTCATGTGCTCGGTAGCAAATTGCCTGTGTGTGAACTCTGACACTGCCATGCATGCAAAGGAGCTTGCTCTCTTTCATAAGAATTGGACATCATTGTACTGATAATGGGATAAATGCATTCATGGATGATTTGTTTGGAACAGCAAAGTGACTTGCTCCCATGTGATTTCTGCATTTGTTCCATATAGCCCAGGTAAGGGCTGGTTCAGTGGGGGTGGAAAGCACTTTGGCAATCAGAGGTGTGTCAGGGAAGGGCTGGAGTGTAGGTGCTACGAGCTGGAACTATAACTAGCATAGGGCCCACAGAGACCTGGGTGCTGAGTACCCACTTGGAACTCCTCTTAGAAGAAGTCCTAGGGTGATCAATTTACTGCTTGCAAGTAATTTGGAGCTCTTCTGAATCTTACCTGAGATTCATTGTCTGAGGCTCACTCTGTACTTTAAGTTTTTTTCTTAAGTTCCAGGACATACTTGTGAATTTAGGAAGCAGTGGAAAGGGCATGAATAATGTTTGTTGGTGGGTTTAGTCTCCAGACCAAAAAGATAGAGAAGCTAACTGGAAGAGAGGTTCATGGGTAGAAGGACCTCAGAAATGTCACAGCTGCTGGCAGTGCCTTGCTGGAAGGTAACCTGAAGCTTCTGCCAAAAGTTTTTCCTAAAACTTCTAAAATTGATTGTGTAAGGAGCAAAACACTTCTTCATTCACAGCCCAAACCAACCAATCCTTGAAATTGTTATATTATTTTTTATTTATAATTTGATTTATAACATTTTATGTATTTTATATAAAGCATAAGTCTCTCTTCTTGTAATATTTATTTCTTTATATAGTATTTA